GCAGTCTGTGTCGCTGTGACGTGTAGTTACATTTTTGGGGAGGTGCACGTTAGACTACGGTGTATTTATATATTCCTTGTGTGCATGCCGTTTTTAGGCTTTTCATTTGTTCTCAGGCTGTCTGGTCCCAACATTATATTTCCCTCTGTTGCTTTTATGTTTTACGTAAAGCACTTTGAATTCCCTTGTTGCTGAAATGTGTCTACAAATAAACTTTCCTTGCCTTAATTTCTGCTCTAGAATTCTTCTTTCAGAGATAGCAATGATAAAAACTAGTTTAAATAAGTTGAAATAAAGTCTTGGAGTCTAAATATAGGCTGAAACAGACCTACATATTACAGACTGAGTATCAAACTGAAAGAGGAGAGGAGCTGAACCTTTAGACCTTCAGTGTTTCTCCCTGATGGGAGTAAAGTTTGTTTAACTAAACAGAGCAGCAGCATGAAACATAGCCAGCGTGTAGTGTGTGTGTGTGTGTGTGTGTGTGTGTGCGTAGGCGTGCTTCCAGTAGTTGCTGCCTTCTAATTTCCAGAAGTGTTTTCTCAGCTGCAGTTTCCATGAGAGAGAAGAGAAAATGTTTTCATGGATTTACTGCTATTACACCTCCTTATCCCTCCCTCCACTCTTCTCCTCTCTCCTCTCCTCCATGTTGACTTCAGCTGACTGACTGAAAACACACCTGGTGTTGGTATAAGGTGTAGTCTGTTCCTTCTGACTGAGTAGCTCTATTCATTTTCCTGAGTGCTGACAGAGCAAACAGTCACACAGAATATTTTCATACTGACTGGCCTCGTTGAAAGCACTTAAAGCTACATTAAGTGACTTTTCAACACTAGAGGGCAGAAAATAGACAAAAACAAACACCTAGAAGCCTCGAGAAATATTACTACATCAACAAATCAGGTGTTAACACATTTAACACATGGAGCTTTGTGTTTACTAGTTAAGTGTCAATCAAATAATTGCTTTAGCCCTTTTGTCCAATATATTTGGTATTTTATCTCCAGTTTGGTCCAATATTATCTGGTGTTTTAGCTCATTTAGTCTAATATTTGTTGGTATTTCAACCCAGGTTTGGTCCAATATTCTATGGTATTTAAGATCTGGCAAATATGGCAAATATTTGTTGGTGTTTTAGCCCTGTTTTAGTCCAACATTTGTTGATGTTTTATCCTTGGTTTTGGTCCAGTATTCAATGGGGTTTTAGCTTTGGTTTAGGCAAATATTTGTTGGTGTTTCAACCCTGGTTTGATCCATTATTCTATAGTCTTCTGCGGTATTGGCCCTTATTTGGTCCAATATTCTATGGTGTTTTAGCCCTCATTTTGGTCCAATAATAATGTTTTAGTCAACATTTGCTCTAACATTCTTTGGTGTTTTAGCCCTGGTTTGATCTGATTTTTCTGGTGTTGTAGCCCATCTGTCCAAGCCCTGGTTTGGTCCACTACTTGTTTCAGCACAGGTTTAATTTAGTTTGGGCGGGTTTGGGTTTGTTTAGCTGGGATTTGATTTAATATTGCCTAATGTTTTTGCACCTAACACTCCCTTGTATTTTAGCCCTGGTTTGGTCCAACATTCTATGGTGTTTTTTGCAGCGGTTTGAGCCAATATTTGTAGTGTTTTGGCCCTGGTTTGGTCCAATATTCTCTGCGGTATTGGCCCTTATTTGGTCCAATATTCTCTGCGGTATTGGCCCTTATTTGGTCCAATATTCTATGGTGTTTCAGCCCTCGTTTGGTCTAGTATTCGATCCAGTCTGATAGGAGTTTCTGCGTTAATCATTGTGAACAACACTGCTCTCCAACTCAAATACGCATGGCAAAAGCTTCAACAGTCCAACACACAAAGTGATTTTAATATAACGTCATCATCCACACACACACACACACACACACACACACACACACACACACACACACACACACACACACACACACACACATTACCATGTTGGTTCCCACAATACCTCAGCGAGTGTTTGTCCAACTTGCTGCTCCATTTCACATCATGAAACAATAGAACGCACACACAATAAGTGGTTCCAGTGGTTTATTGAGCAGTGCTGCGTCAATGCTGACCTCCAACTGCCCACAAAACAGAGGAGAGGGTAGAGAAGGGGGTAGAGAGGGAGACATATACAGAAATGTCCTGGTCTAACAAACCTCAGAAGGGGAAAGTACGTAAGGTGATTTAATTAATTGCAGAACTACAGAACATTTTAAGTAGTTGTCTTTTTCCACTTTTTGAGACTTCCTACGTCTTACTCCACTACTTTTGTCTGACTTTATGCTCACAACACAAGATAAAACTGAGCTAGATGGAGATGAGACCGTCCAACAGGATAATCCAGTATAAATTTTCTCCTGACCGAACAATGATATAACAAACGTGCGTTACAAATCACTTTGCTACATATAGGCGAACTTAGAAACCAATATGACGAGACGAAATTAAAGCCATCAGGAGAGGAAGACCCTGTAAAAGCTCATCAAAGTAATGTCAGCTACAAGTAGGTAATGGTATTCTCTTTTGAGACCTTTTAAGACTTTTAGCACATCTGGTCCAAGTCCTGGTTTGGTCCTGTGCTCTTTTAGTTTGGGCCAATCTTCTTTGTTTGTTTAGCTGTGATTGGATCTAATGTTCACTGATGTTTAATCCATGGTTTGTTCTAGCATTTGCTTGTGTTTTAGACCTGGTTTGGTTCAATATTTGAAGGTTTTTTAGCCCTTTTTATCTAATATTCTCTGGTGTTGGGGCCTTGGCTTGATCGAATATTTTATCAGTGTGGTCTGGTATTGTTTGGTGTTTTAGCACCACACACAATAAGAGCCTGGATCATTGCCTGACGCTAAGTGGAACACAAATAAGAGAACCACGGAAGCTCTGAGAAGCAAGTGATATTTTTTTCCTGGTTATCCATTTTTTTAAGTCTGCGATATCCTTTTCTCTCCTTGTGTTCATAACTTAAGAAAAGGTTAAAAGAAAGGTGTTTTCTGCCATTTGAAGTGCAGATTAAAAAAAATTGCTAACCAAAAGAAGGATGCAGCAGTAAAGTTACATAATTTGTACACATGTACCTTGTGTTTAGACTGCATTTGTGTGCACAATTTATGCAAAAGTAAGAAATTCTTTCAAACTTTTTTGAGCCAGCAACAGACTACGTAAGCTCTGTCTACAAGGTTATTATCTGTACTGTATAGGTTTTCCTTTTCCATAACAGTGCAATACACATGTCATGACACAATGTCCTCAGTGCTGTAACTCACTCCTGCACCAGGCTGCTTTCTGACTATTAGTGTCACAGCTTGCTTCAGGTACTTCCTGAACAGAGGACCAACAGTGGCATCTGCTGGTTCAACTGGAAACACACAACCATTAAAAAGCTGCAGTCTACGGCCATCTGTCAGCTTCAGTTCAGTTTTGATTTGCAACAAAAATCAACAAAAGCAGAGCATCAAATCCACATTTTCACACATTACATGCAACCGCTTTCTATCACGTCGTAGGGGAATAATCAGTAACATTAACCAGCTCATTTTGACTAACGAGTCATACTTACTAGACGACTATTGGCTCCAAACTAATTGTGATGTCACAAAATCCTGCAGATAAATTGAGGTGTTAAACTGAGATTAACTAACTAGGGGTTAAGTGTCTTGCTCAGCGACACAATAGTGGATGGGTAACAGTGGGGGATTGAATCTGGGTCTCTCACACCAAAGGCAGGCATCTTATCCATTGCGCTATCACCACCCCCTTTTATAGTTTTATAGACCTAAATGATCATTTATTGTTAGTTACAATTTATACTTTGTTTTATACTTTTCATATTAAACTATGAACTAACTAATAAATAATCACACAGGGTTGTTGTTTCTGGACATGGCTTCTGCAGGGTTCACATAGCCTAGTTAATAGTTTTTAAGACCTTTTTAACACCACCAACACAATTTATTACCTTTTTTACCATCATACCGGCCAAAGTATGATGGAAAACCAGCAGGAACCTAGAATTTTTTATTATTACATTCCCTTCGGTAAAGAACAATAACTCCTGGTGATTAAATTGGATGGATTAGTTTTTATTATGAGACCATGAGTTCCCTGCTGTAGTGACAGTGTTTGCTGCAGATTTAATGTGTTGACTGATATTAAAACGGATTAAACAGCCTCCTGCAGCAAAAGCCACCGTCGCCAACAATCCCACTGTTAGCTTAAAAGATGTGTAACATCTCCCAACAGCCTGCAATCACATATAAAAGAAACTGTAATGTTTCTGTCTGCGGCAGACAAGGGACCTCTTGAATACCGTCTAAGGCCTTTGAGAAAAATTAATTCACTGCAGATACACTGCTTACCTAAAGTTTCCAACATACTGTACACTCTGCTTTAGAGGATTTATAATAATATAATTATAAGGTTTATACACAAACACTGAATGAGAAGATGTATAGGTTAATTCTTCATTATGCAACTTCACATGACATTAGAGCGCATCTAATGATTATTTTTGTTATCGATTTATTATTTTATCATGTCAGAATGAGATAAAATTCCCAATTTCCCACAGCCCTAGGTGAAATCAACTGTTCCAAAAAATTATTCAGTTTACAGTGATGTAAAAACAGAAAATTTAATCTAATTTGAGAAGCTGCAGGTAATGAATGTTTGGCCATAAACGATTAATAAATTATCAAAATGGTTGCTAAATAGAGTGCAACTTCTTTTTATAAAAGGGCAAGATCCTTTTTGTTTAACCTAAAGCAGTTGCTATATCTCTCTCGTCTCAGCCACCAAACTCCCTTGACAAAAACAGTAATTTTACCTCACATAACACGGGACTGCTGCTCGGTCGGTTTGTCTTACTTTACTGTGTAAATGTGGTGTTTGTTTGTTTTTTTCTCGACTTTAGTGTTTTAAAGGATTAAAAACACATCTACTCAAATTGTGTAACAGAAGGTATAGAAGTGGAATAAAAACTGCAGTAAAGGTTGTAGAACTCATGTGACTGTCAAAAAACAGAGTTTTATTCTGAAGGTCCAAAAGTTTTAACATAACATTAAAATACAACACTATGTCAACATCTGGCTGTGTATTTGTTTGTGTGTGTGTGTGACAGTGATGTGTCCAGAATACAGTGTCCCACAGTTTTACTTCATAGAGTAAATACAAACAATGGAGACAATATTTAAACAAAACCAATAAAAACAAAACAGAAACTTCAGTACATTCAACACAGCAGGTAACAGTCAGTGTAGAGTCTGTCTGTCTCTTTGTTACAGCTGTGGTCTTATCAAGGAGTGTTAACCGATTGATCTTTGCGCTGGACCAATCAAATCCACTTCTGTCCCTTCCTGACCAATCAAGATTGCTGGTCTTTCTCACAGCACCTCCCCAGAGATCTCAGAGCTCGTCCTGCACAAACAAAGACAGACATCAGCCTCTAGTTCAGTGTCTGCTTTGTGTTTAAATTTACGGTTGACAGCGAGTTACCTTCTGTTTGTTGTGTAACCGTGGCGACAGCTGTTGTAGTCGCTGTCTGACTGTGTCAGCGATCACGTTAGCATCCCGGCTATTGATGTATTCTCCACTGTGTTCATGCTGTCGACACAAACAGACACAATTATACATCTTTTAGAGCATGAACACGTGTTCAGCCCACCTCTGACTCTTTCACACTACATTCACTTGTCATATAAAGGTATAATCCTGAAGAATTTCATGAACTGATATTAATTTTTAGCCATTCAATGCATTTGGAGTCAGTTATGACCTCTCAATATCATGCAGAATTAAAATATCACATGAAACACTGCAGCTTGTAATTAGTTTGTATTTTGATCTCATTGATATCAGCCTCACTGTTTATTTTCACTGGAAAAAACTATTCAAATCATTGTGTCCGAGGAGGGTTAAGATCAAGGGCCAAAACAGGACGTGGTTGGAGATGCTCAAAGACGTTTTGCCCCTCATCCAAGAGGTTTCTTCAGTTCTGACTGACTCGCTGGGAGTCCCAGCTATTTAACCTCTGTGGCGTTGTTATCAAGATGATCGATAAGGCTTGGTTCGTTTGTGCTCCTGGCTGTCGTAGTGTGTTACAAATGCTCGCTATTGGCCTCATGTGACAATGCCAGTGATGGTTGCTGCGCCCTGTCCTTAAATGACTCCAACAACCATAACTGCTATTGTTACAACGAACGAGCCAAGCTGTTTCCATCGCCTTGATAACGACCGCTCAGAGGTTAAATAGCTGGGACTCCCTGCCAGTCAGTCAGAACTGAAGAAGCCTCTTGTATATGAGGTGAAACATCTTCAAGTATGTTCAACCAAGGTTCAGGATAAGGTCCTTTGGGGCTGTAAGGTGCTGATTCTGTGTGTTCTGGTAAAATGACTAAAAGGTGAAGCTTGGACAGGTGAAGCCCTTCAGTTCCATGTAAAGTGCTGCTGTATCACGTGCGTGTGCTCACCCTTCTTGTTCCCAGGTACGGGTAGAATCTGACAGTTGGGTAGGCGTTTATTCCAGCTGATTGACAGATCTGATAATGAGCCTGACAGTCCACCTTCCCAGCTCGAACCGTCCCTTTCAGAATCTGTCAGTCACACGAGGAAAATCCTTACAAGAGCCTCCATTACCTCTGTCAGTGCATGTTTCATGCTGGAAGATTTATTTAGAAAAAGAAAACGCTGTCTCACCCGAGCCATGACCTCAAACTCCGGGGCAAAGTGTTGACAGGGTCCACACCAAGGGGCGTAAAAATCCAGAACCCAGTGATCCTGGCCTGACAGAACCAGAGACCTGAAGGACTCTGGAGTCAGGTCCACCGACGCTTTGGGTAAAGAGCTGCAACACAACGATTCAGTTCAATTTAACATATATATCAAAGTTACCTCATTCTACTTTTCATCAAGAGCAAGTCATGACTGTAGGCCTGACCCAACTACACATCTACAGGACCCCACATTAACCCAATCATTGATTCTTTTTGACATCGGAGACAGAAAATAAAGAAAAGGACAGTTTGTGTCTCACCTCAGCGCCCACGCTCTCAGTGAATGGGCATCTCGGTGCCAACCATTATAACTCCTGTAGAGGCAGACAGATCAACAGGATCAATATGCTTCAAGGGAAAACTCTTAAACCCGCTGTAACTAATGATGTTAACATTCAAAAATACACTCCCATTCAATAAGTCCTGATGTATTTATGGATGAAACAGGAGCATGTGATCATTGGTGGAGAGTAAGTACATGTCCTCCAGTACTGTACTTTAGTACAAATAAGAGGTATAGTGTGCAGATAAAACAATTTCTCATACAATGAGTATGTTAAAGTGCAGTACATACATGTAGCGATCCGGCTGCCGGGCGTTCCCGAGGTATAGGCGGATTTCAGGGTACGCCCTCACATGCTGACTCTGACAGAACGACTGAAACCGCTGGCAGTCAACTGAACCAACAAGGATCTGACCTGACAGCAGCTGGATGGTGAGAGACGGACAGAAAAAGACACACGGTGTTAATCACCAGCAACTATATAAACCTTGTGTCTGCAGGTAAAAAGCTGCCTTGCGAGACTCACGTAAATGACATTTTTCACACGCTGTCAAGCCATCCATTAATTTTCTCACGCAGGGAAATACAAATATATAACTGATAAGAAACTCACAGAGCGAATCAACTCCGCCCAGCTGATTGACACCGACGTACGCTGTGATAGTAATCAGCTGAACATGTTCGCGCTGTGATTCCAGACATTTTTATATACAGTGAATGGTCCAGACAGCTGTGGTGACGTAGCTGGTAGAGTTTTGCAACATAAACATCTAAAAACTGAAGCGCAGCTTTGCTCTGTTTGGGACTGTGAGCACCTTATCTGAGCTGCTGAAGTTAACGTGTGTGGATCTGTGGTGAGATTTCTGCCTGATCACAAGTGTCTTAGTTACTTTCGGTTTCACATGCAACATGCAGTACCAAACTGCATCGGTGAAACAATCTGAAGAGGATAACGTTACTACCAGCGGATCAAAAACGTAATGCACCGCAGAGTATAGGGTAGGTAGGCTTCTCATTAAATGATGGCGTTAGTCTGGTAATATTCTACCTTTTGTCTGGACATGTCAGAGAACACAGTGTGGGGGAGAGATTCTCAATGTACAGAAAGTTTTGAGGCTGAGCAGAAAATTAAAAATTTATTAATCACCATAAACTGGTGAAGAAAAAAATCATCAGAATGCAGGAAATAAAGCATTTAATGCTCAAAAGTTTCATATAATTCAGCATTAAAGATTTGTTAAAATAGCGTTAAAATCTTGTCTCGATCTTGTTCGATCTAGTTTTCACTACACAGTCCATGCTGTTTCAGTGTGTGTGTGTGTGTGTGTGTGTGTGTGTTGTACCCTGGCCATGCGTCTCCACTCTGGCATCAGAGCCTGACAGGGACCACACCATGGAGCGTAGAAATCCACCGCCCAGATCTGCCCCTCATCTCGACCTGCAACCAGCACAACAGGACAAAACAGAAGAAAATGAACTAATTAGTAACTGCAGCAGTCGTTAGAACAAAGACTGAATTATTGACCTATCCTCTAGGCTATTTCTGAGATAAAAGCTGTGTTACTTAGTGAGCAATGAGAAGACTCCAGAAACACCTTTAAAGAAACGGTATTGGAACAAGACAGTTTTGTGCAACTGAATGAATTTACAGTGGGTACGGAAAGTATTCAGACCCCTTTAAATTTTTCACTCTTTGTTTCATTGCAGCCATTTTCCAAAAATCAAAAAAGTTTATTTTATTTCTCAGTAATGTACACTCAGCACCCCATCTTGACAGAAAAAAAACCAGAAATGTAGAAATTTTTGCAAATTAAAAAAGAAAAACTGAAATATCACATGGTCATAAGTATTCAGACCCTTTGCTCAGTATTTAGTAGAAGCACCCTTTTGATCTAATACAGCCATGAGTCGTTTTGGGAAAGATGCAACAAGTTCTCCACATCTGGATTTGGGTATCCTCTGCCATTCCTCCTTGCAGATCCTCTCCAGTTCTGTCAGGTTGGATGGTAAACGTTGGTGGACAGCCATTTTCAGGTCTCTCCAGAGATGCTCAATTGGGTTTAAGTCAGGGCTCTGGCTGGGCCATTCAAGAACAGCCACGGAGTTGTTGTGAAGCCACTCCTTCGTTATTTTAGCGGTGTGCTTAGGGTCATTGTCTTGTTGGAAGGTAAACCTTCGGCCCAGTCTGAGGTCCAGAGCACTCTGGAAAAGGTTTTCGTCCAGGATATCCCTGTACTTGGCCGCATTCATCTTTCCCTCGATTGCAACCAGTCGTCCTGTCCCTGCAGCTGAAAAACACCCCCACAGCATGATGCTGCCACACCATGCTTCACTGTTGAGACTGTATTGGACAGGTGATGAGCAGTGCCTGGTTTCTCCACACATACCGCTTAGAATTAAGGCTAAAAAGTTCTATCTTGGTCTCATCAGACCAGAGGATCTTATTTATCACCATCTTGGAGTCCTTCAGGTGTTTTTTAGCAAACTCCATGCGGGCTTTCATGTGTCTTGCACTGAGGAGAGGCTTCCGTCGGGCCACTCTGCCATAAAGACAGGTGTGTGGCTTTCCTAATCAAGTCCAATCAGTATAATCAAACACAGCTGGACTCAAATGAAGGTGTAGAACCATCTCAAGGATGATCAGAAGAAATAGACAGCACCTAAGTTAAATATGAGTGTCACGGCAAAGGGTCTGAATACTTATGACCATGTGATATTTCAGTTTTTCTTTTTTAATAAATTTGCAAAAATTTCTACATTTCTGTTTTTTTCTGTCAAGATGGGGTGCTGAGTGTACATTACTGAGAAATAAAATGAACTTTTTTGATTTTTGGAAAATGGCTGCAATGAAACAAAGAGTGAAAAATTTAAAGGGGTCTGAATACTTTCCGTACCCACTGTAAACATCTTTGTGAAACCAGCCCCTCGTCATAGCAGGACTGTCTATTGCTGTCAGAACAAGTTTTACCTTTGACTCTCTCGGAGAAGCTGGCAGGATCCAGGACCACCACAGATGGATTGACCAGATCCTACAGAGACAGAAAGAATCACTTGGTGTGGATGCAACCATTTTTTTTGTTGAAACCATTCTTGGGAAGGTGACAGCAGTGTTCAGTTTATTGCCCAGTAAGTAAGGTTGGGGGGTGGGGGGGAGAATGATACAGCATAGTATCACGATATTTTCCATTGCAATATTGTATCGGTACACAGACGGTCAAGTATCCATCTTTATTATATAAACTGTACATGAGAATTTTACTTTTTGATACTATAATTCAATCCATGACAAAAAGAGTTTTCCTTTCGGGACACAATTTGAAGTTGGGAAACAAGTAATGAATTGCAATATATTTAACATCGCAATAATATCGTACCGTGACGTAAGTATTGTGATAATATCGTATCGTGGGGCCTCTGGTGATTCCCACCCCCACCAGCAAGTCTGCATGTTTAGGGATTAAAGAAGAATCGTGATTTTGTCTTTCAAATGCAATAACAATAAGGACTTTTACTCCCTGCTAGCAAAAGCAATAGGTGTAGTGTGTATTATGTAGTATTAGTAGGTCTTTAGTATGTAGTAGTACCTGTATGAACTCCAGGATGCCGTCAGCTGAATGTTGTCCTTCATATTCATGGACAGAGGAACCGTTAAAGATCACTGTGGTGGGATAAGCCTGAATATTATACTGAGAAACAGACAGAAAGACAAACAGTTATCAACCTATCTGTGGTTGTACCTCTATGTACCTGTCTCTGTCTCATAATTAATGGTACAGTCCAGATGTGCAGGTGCTCACCATAGAGCAGAGGTCGCCGTGGATGGTACAGTCCAGAGTACCAAACTTCATCTGTCCAGCCAACTGGATCGAAGCTTTCCTCAGTTCAGGCAGTAAGGCTCGACATGGAGGACACCACTGCACACAAGACGAAAACATTTATTATTCATATCTAATCACATTGATCAGGTCACTTACTTCCTCTGCTTTGATTAGGTAGTTATTTTCTCCCGCCTCCCACTACACAACGTAGCAGTTCATTTCTCGAGCTGTGTGATTCCATTTAAGTCCTGGTAGCTCATTCAAGTTATACGAAATGTAATAGGGAAGCTGTTGATCAGGTTTTTTCCTCCATTTTACCTAAAATAGTTTTACGTATTGAAGTAGAAAAACAAGTGTGGCTGATTGCCAATCTTCCCAAATCATGCCCCTGGGCAACTCTGAGTCTTGCATTTTGAGACACAAATTGAGTCTCATGGGGAAGCACAAGGATGTTATTTGGAGGTTGATTTCACAATGAATGGCAGCCTGTGTTCATGTGTGTAAACGGGAGGTAAGGCCACAGCCTAGTGTTAATATGACTATGGCCCGGAGGCAATAACGCTACAGCCTGGGGACAAGATATGAATTTTCACCCACCAGTTTCAATGCACATTTTCAATTTGTGCAAAGAGTTGAAATATCGAATGTGACACAGTGTTAGGGACAAACGTCACTCAAGCTACCAGTGAAGAGCTGAAAACATGGAGCGATGAGGAGGCTGTAACCTTCCTCACATTAACACATGAAACTAACAAATGTCTGATTTCCATCATGTTCTCTACTTGGTTTTCCATCGTTTGAGCTTTTACTGGATCTCTTTTAAAGACAGCTGTGTCCTCTTCTTCTGATGGTTTAATGACGGCAACTGGAGAATTTTCTGGAAATCCGTCTAGAATTTGCAATAATTTCGACGGGAATTTGATTAATGACCTCATGTTCACACACACAAATTAAGCTTCCGTCTCTCTGTGCGTGCTGCTGAAGAATAATGTTTATTGTTCAGTAGCAGTCATTTACATATTCAGGTCCGACTGGACAGTTATTTTCTACCGTTGCCACTATACTGACGTGCAACGAAGTGGTTGATTTCTGCCTGCCTCTGCATCGCTCTCTGTTTGTGTTGTAGGTGTAACATCATCCACCAGCCCTGAAGATAAACAGGGAGTTCGACACGCTGGCTCATCAGGCAGCACAGTGTGAAATACAAAACTATCTGAGGTAAAGCTTATCAATAATGACGCAGCGTTCCCACCTGTGTATTTATGATCAGGAGGCTGTGCTGTATAAGACATTGTTTTCTGCTACTGTGCTTCCCTGCTGGTGAAGACTACGAGTCCACAACACACTGGGTAACAGTTACCATGCCAACCACTGCCATAAATAAGCATCTCAGGATAGGAGTGCGTATCTATCCCTCTAAGATGGTCTGATATGTGTTTAGGTACCTGGTCCTGGAAGTACGTGATTGTTTGACAGGAGATGGGAGTCACAACCTGAGCAGGTGTGTGGGAGTATGTATATATCGATCAATATTCTGATTAGTTACAAACCGGAGCAAAGAAGTCGACCACCCAGGGCTCCTTTCTGTTTGAGGGAAAGTTGTCAGGTCTCAGAGTCGTCACATGAGCGCGAACGCTGTCCCTTGCAAAACTCACAATGTTGTACAACACATCTTTACCTGCAGACAAAACAGACAAGACAAGGGATACAGACATTTGAAGAGTCTACAGTCTTGCTGGTGGCTTCTGTAAAGCTGTAAGTAGACACAGCGGTTGGACTAAATCATCATGCTTACAGTGGAAGTGCTAACATGATGATGTTTAGCAGATATAATGTTCACAATGTTCACCATCTTAGTTTAGCGTGTTAGCATACTAACATTTGCTAATTGGGACTAAACATAAAGAACAGCTGAGGCAAATGTGGATGTTTTGCAGACATTTGACCCTAAACCCACATATTGTTCAACCTGAACAGTACTGGAGGAGAAATTAAGGGATCACCGAAGTTATTAAAATTTAATCTGAGGGGAAATTTCCACCCCGTAGTTGAGATTTCACTTGAAGTGGCACAAAAGTCAGGAGATCCCCGAAGTCAGTAGGCTTCATCATTTGAAAACCATGCATGGCAAACCATCTGGTAGATGTTAAGATATTTCACAGGATATTTGCAAACTTTGACCTGCTGGTAGAGCTAGCAGAAAGGTCAGCAGTGACCATCATCAGCACACCTTTTACAGTCTGAACCAAAGTGGTCAGACAGACCGACACTGCCATAGAGCCACGTTCTTAGTGCCTAAAAACTGGGGTTGGGTATCGAGAACTGGTTCCAAGTTGGAACTGTTAACAAATTTCCAAGAACCGTGGATTCGATCAGACATGCATTTGGATTCTGCTTCTCGGTTCTTAACTTCCTGCATATTTCAGCTCCTGACTGACCTGCAGTGAGCATTTTACAGTCCATAATAGTGTCTCTTATCTGCCAGGAGCTGCTACGCCGACCTAACGTCACCTCATCTGTTACACAGTACGTCAACAAAGCATGAAGAAGAGAGTCCTTCTGTTTCCCTTCCTGGACCATGGCGGACCGCAGCACACGCTCCAAAGTTTGGCTTAGCTTCACTAAAAAAGGAAAAGGACACAGCAAGATGCAACACCTGCAGTAAGGATGTCTACGAAGGATTCAATATATATTTTTCTTAGAGACCAGTCCCCAGACAGGTCCCTCTAGTACAGAGACTCCTTTCACTTTAGCCATGAAAATGAAGATGAGCAAGGAGGAAGAGGATGAAGGTCACCAAGCGCTGACCAGATCTGTGGTGAAGGGGTTGGAACCAGAACCGAGATTCAATAAGAAGCGAGATCTGATAAGTAGAACTGGAATAGATAAAATTGAATTTAAACCCAACCCTACTAAAACACAGTAGTAAAAGGACAGTATAGTCTGTAGTACTGACCGTGGTGAATCTCGAAGTCGTGGATTCCCAGTCCTTTAAAGACAACCACGCAGGGTTTATGGATGTAGAGAGACTGACACAACTCTGAGTCTGCTATACAGTCAACTCTGCCGACCTGGAGAAACAGACAGACAGTCAGACAGTCAGGTGTACACACAGGTAGGCATAGAGACAGACAGGTAGGCAGGTAGACACGTACCTGTATGTGGTCATTTCGAAGGAAAGCTTGCAGCTTTTTGTACTCGTTGGAGGCGGGGCTTCTGTCTCTAAACGTAAAACTCACCAACCAGCGATGATGGGCCAGCTTCCTCTGGAGACAACATGTCAGTAACAGGATTCACATTTAACATGTTTTGATTGATATTGATCTGATCCTAAAAGCTGCAGGGGATATGTTAGCGTGTGTACCTGGAAGGTGTCACTGGTCAGCAGTTCCAGATCAGGCAGATGGTTGATGACCTGATTATAAATCTCTCTACTGTCCAAAGTATTCAGCCACTGTAACATATGCACATTGAGTCAAGAGCTGCAGCACTACACAAAGTAGTACCACACTACACTGTGTGTAATGTTCGGAGTCTTACCAGTATGCTGCCTTGTTGATCCAGAGAACTTCCAGGTGGGAACAAGCCAGTCACTCCACTGGTCACCTAAAATATAGGAGAAAGGTTAGAGACTACTACTACTACTACAATTTTACCTAAAAATAAATCTAAAAGCAGTTCAGAGCAGCTAAGGGCATACTGTGTTCAGAAACAAAATAGCCACCTTTGCAGATGATACGCTGATTTATCTTCCAGACGAGCCCAACTAGCAATGAATCATGGGAGTCTATTCACCACCACAGGGCCATGGAGATTAACATGTATGTAGTAGTATTAATCAGTACTGCATTAGTGTCTGGCCTTACCTGGAAACTTTCACAAAGCTGTTCCTGTGAGGTGCAGTCTATCCATCCCACCTTAACTAGACCATCCTACACAAGCACACAAACATACACACATTCGGATCAGACATCTAACAATGAATATTACAATTTATTACAATAAATACACAGTATAAACACTACTTCTAGTTTCCTCACATAACTGTATAGTGATTTAAGAGGACAGAAGCAAAAAAATGTAGCCTGACTTAGTTATTTTTTTCTAGTATTAATTACTTCGCACTTCAGAAAATGAGAGCCATAATTCAGAGGGGGCAGCTTGCCTCTGCTACAAACAGATGTGGGAAACCCAAGCGGTAACCTCCGGGTCTGAAAAGTGAAGCCAAGGCTGAAGAGCCTTAAACCGCCATTCTTTCCAACGGCCAGCAGGAGGAGACTCAAAAGAAAGTTTGATAAAAGTATAAAAGTCGACTACGAAAATGAGGCTACTTCTCAACTGATTTATAACCTATTTATACCATTTAAGTAAACGCTTTCCTAATGAGTTATAGTCTCAGTTGATAGTTTCAAGTGTTCTTCAACACAGCATGATTTTCATTTAGTAAATTATTGTCCCATTTAGAGGAAAATAGACCAGAAAGCAGGGGAGGCAATCAGATAGAGGCAACTCATATCTACTGCTCTGTGTACATTTAACCAGCGCAGTTGAAAAAACTTATTAGGAGTCAGCTGTTAATTTCCCCAGTAAGTACATTTTGTTTAAAGCCTGTTTGTCACAAGCCAAAATTAGCATACAAGTTAATCTCACAGGTAACGTGAATTACAGATGCACCTTGCTAACCAAGCAAGCTAGCTCCACCCTTAAGATCCAATAAGGTCACTTCTGGTTCCCTCCCAAAAATAAAAAAATATGGCCAAAATGCCAAACTTGAGGCTTCAAAAACGGTTATCCATAAACCAATGGGTGACATAACTGTGGCTAAGTCCACCCTATAATAAAAAAATACTACTCACCAACATCCCAGCCACCTTCTGTCTCGTTCTTGGCTCCAGACAATCTGATATAGAGGCAAGTACATTATTTCTATAAATACATATCTATACTATGTACTCAGTATGTGTTGTTATGGAGAATGATTTGTCTACCTCTTTTCACCACAAGTGTGATGATGTGACACATAACATCTTTTATAAATCTGTGCCACATCACACACCTGTGCATATGCATGCATGACAAGCAGAGAGACGCATATGACTGAATGTTTCTGCGGGGGAAACTTTCAGCCATGAAGAAAACGTGTGTTACCTCCAGTGTCAGCGCAGAAGGTGATCAGCCAGCTGAGGCCTGACGAGTACGCACTCTCTATCTCGCTGAACACATTACCTGGCAAAACCACAACCACACCCACAGGTCAGATCACACAGAACAATATCAACAAGCCCGATGATAAGACTGAACTGCTGTCTAAACGGAGGCGTGGGCATTAAATTACCTTGCCAGAGCTGACTGACAGTTGTTGTGATGAACTTCATGGAGAAGTGCACCAGGTTGTCCTTCGAACGGTCCCCATTGAACTTCTCTGGTTTCTACAGAAAGACAAACTAAATGTTTATGATGACTAAACAAGACTGTTTCGATGACATAAACAGAATTTACGTGAGCACTTCAGTCAAATCCAAAATATGACTAATCTTCCTCCTATGTTAATTATAAATGCAGCAGGTGACCTTTGTGTCTTTTGCACTCAAGTTTTAATAACTCATGAGTAGCATGAGACATGAAGGTCACATTCTAGATGTTGTTATTTAATTAATCGTCAAGTCTACTTGTTTTGTTTCCACCAATATTGTCACTGGTTTATAAATCAGTTTACATGAGCTGGAATGATTTTTAGACATGCACAGATCGATTGGCTGGGCATCTGAATCGGCTGTTTTTGTTTCGCTTTATCAGCCGTGACAAGTGATCGGTCCATTGAGGGGTTTTTTTGGGCGACTTTATAAAACTGCTGACAGCGCAAGTCAACAGAGCAGACACGTACAGGGAGAGAGATGGAGAGAGAGTGATTCAGGTGTAGGTATGTCTTATTTTGAGAGTAAGAGAAGGTCCTGTAATCTGCTGCAGTTTGGGAGAAAATGTAAACTTTATTTATAGTCTTTAATAGAATTTTCCATTAAAGAAAAGTTACAAAAATGTTTGTGTATCCGGCCAATTATAGGAAGAAAGAAAATCGGAATCGGCAATTCAGATGGACTGGGTTGAAAATACTAGAAGATGTTTCGTCCCTCATCCAAGAGACTTCTTCAGCTCTGAAATGACTAGTAGGGAAACTCAGCTATTTAACCTCTGTGGGAAGATCGATACCGCTGGTTCGTTAGTGTTCCTGGCTGTTGTACAACAAGTCGTTACGGTTGTTAGAGCCACCCAAGGCCAAGTCTAAACAACCATCGTTGGCATCTTCACCTGAGGCCAAGAGGTAACGTTTGTTCAGTTTCCTGGGAAGTGATGAAAGGACAGCATTGTAAGTAAAATGTGCACCTGGTGATCCTCAAACGAGTGTCCTTTATAATTCAGATACCGCATGGGTGTGCAGTCTTTGGGGTGGACCAATATCTGTCTTAGTGTGTTCTTGGGTTTAAAAAACACAGGGATGTTGTGTTTGTTGAAAATCCTCCTGAGTTTCTCTGATACTCCAGACACGCATGGAATCACAATGTTGTTGCATTTGACCTTCTTCTCCTCCTCCCCTGTAGTGTTGGTCTTCTTCCTGGATCTTGTGGTTGTTTTCACAAAGGTCCATTTGGGGTATACACTGGCTGTAAGTGCCCCCTTCAGGTGGTTCTGTTCCTTCTCTCTGGCTTGGGCGCTTGTTGGTATGTGGTCTGCTCTGTGGTGCAGGGTTCTGATGACTCCTAGCTTGTGTTCCAGTGGGTGGTGGGAATCAAAAAATGTTAGTATTGGTCCGTGTTTGGGGGTTTCCTGTAAACCCCAATTTGCAGGCTCCTGTTCTCTTCAGTGTGTACAGCACAGTCCAGGAAGGCCAAACTGTTGTTGTGGACATCTTCCCGTGCAAACGTGACTTACTGTCCACAAAGTTTATGTGTTCTGTGAAGGCTTGCACTTCCTGGCTTTTTATTTCGAGTGTCATCCACATACCTGTACCAGTGGCTCGGTGCTGTTCCTCTGAAGGGCTTTGCTCTCCACTTCTTCCAAGTAGATGTTGTGGATTTGGTGAGCCGTGTTACGTCGATATATTCTTCATGACACATTACAATCTATTTATAACTTTAATCATGATTGTCCATACTGTAAATTTTACTTTGTTGGTGTATTTCTTTTCTGTCTGTCTGCTGCTCTTCCTAAGTTTTTTTTTCCAGTTTTCCCTGTTAAATGTTTTATTTGGGGAGTTTTCTTTATCTGAATTGAGGGTTTAAAGACAGAGGCTGTATGCTGTACACATTGTAAAGACCCTTGAGGAAAATTCATGAATAAACACGTGAAGAAGATACGAGTCATTTCAAACGGAGAAGATGTCAATTAAAATTCAGAACATGTCCCTGCTGTTTTTAGTCCTCCACCTGACTGAACAGGTACACGTCCATTTTATCCAGCGCAGCTTTCTTTACCGTTGCGCCTTCCCTCACACTAGTTAGTTAGTTAGATGAGCAATAAGGACACAGTCAATAAGCAGTACCTGTCCTGCTCTGTAGACAAACAGACTGGGGTAGCTGTTGATGCCTTTACTCCTGCAGAGGTGGTTGTTGTCTCCACAGTTTACGGCTCCAATCCTGATGACTCCATCCATCTCCTTGGCAAACTCCCTCCACTGAGAGAAGGACAAAACCAATGTTGGTTAATGCTAGTCTGTCTCAGTAATTGTCATTATTGCGTTACTCTGTATTTTAGTGTCATATTACCGTTGGAGCGAGCTGATGACAGTGTGAGCATCGTGGGAAATAAAAGTTGATAAACCAGATTTCTCCAGAGTTTACGGCTGAGTCTGAAAAACACACACACAGTCACTGCCTGTTCACTAGTCTACCTGTCGAGTCGCCTCTTTCACACACAACAATCATGTTTAAGGGCCTTTGCAAGTTTGGATAAAGATACATTGCAGTTCTGCTCGTCATGGAGAGATACAGATGTAAAAGAACAAATAAAAAGATGGTCATTAAAGCTACATATATATATGTTACACAGAGTTAATGAATCCTATAAAGAAAGCTGTTTGGCATGCAGCCTCTTTTTAAGTATGGTATTTGCAATGATTTTATTAATCGAGTAGCATTATGGGTAATGTAGGATCCAGTGGTTAGTGTGAGATTGTCCCATACTAGGCATTAAAAGTCAGCATACTGTATATCAGCTCTTGCCGCCTCAATGTTGACCTTTCTGTCTCTTGTCAAGTCACCCAACCTTAAGGAAGTGAAATACTACACGGCTATGCCACCATTTGTTCATGTAACTAAAAAGAAAATGTGTAAGTTGCTCCTACCAAAGTCTCCACTGTCCAACGTGATGATCTCCAAGTCATCATCGTAGATACCTGAACAGGAAGATGGATAAAAAACAGAAAATGTTAAACTTTTAGACTGTAAGAACGAAGATTTCTTCACACTAAAATCAGTTTGTGGTTTTCAAAGAAAATATTTGAATGTCTTATCAGGGTTTCAATATAAACGTTGTAATAAACCAACAGAATAAAAAGGTGTTACTTTGTGGTTACAACAAAGACTTACCAAAGTCATATCGGTAGTAGTTCCAGCTCTCGTAGCGTCCTCCCTGCTGCTGCTCGTCCAATCCCTTTTCTCCATATTTATCGTATTTCTTCCTGAGGTCTTCGTCCTTCAGAACCTCGTAGGCGCGATTCACCTGTAGGAACTTATCGTGGGCTGAGGCGTCGCCCTACAACACAAACCTTTTATTAGTTGTTATTAGGGGTTTGTAGTTCGTAGCAGGGGTTATCTGTATATGTTTCAGGGGAAAGAACGGGTCTTGGCAGAGTTTATGGACTCTGGTTGAACTTACAGGGTTTTTGTCGGGGTGCATGGTGAGCGCCAGCTTCTTGAAGGCCTGTCGTATCTCTCTTGTCGTGGCCTCCCTGTTCACTCCCAGCAGTTTGTAGTAGTCTTGGCTCTCCGCCCAGACCGCTGCCAGCAGGACAACCAGGAGCAGCAGCGGCCGCATGAGCTGGACTGGACGGGAAACCCGGAGGTCAGCCTTGGGCCCCATCACCAGTTCTCCCACTACAACCACGATGACCAGGAAGTGGAGCAGCTGGAACACACAAGCACAAACACGATTCCTTCCTTGTTGTGCAGCTGAGCAGGTTATTGTTACCAGGTTCACTGCTGTGTGACGAATTAGATTACTGGTCCACCCAATCCTGCAGCTAATACCATCCTCCAGTCATGCTAGCTTATTAGCATAGAAAACTCTCAAAACAAAAATAGCAAATGAAATCTGTTGTAATTTTATTGGCTGCTCTGTGTTCTGCTTTGTTCTCTGTGGGTCTGTGGATAGGGTGGATTGGCTTAGAGGAGTGGAGCGGTTGCAGGAATGTCTGCTGCCAATTGAGTCCTACCACCTCCTCTGCCCTTATATCCCACTGGGCCGTTTGTTGTGGTTGGCAGCTGACAGCAAGAGCAGCATTTTTAAAACTGGTCTCCCGGCGATTTGTTCCCAATTACAGTTGCCTGCTACCTAAGTAACAGGCTGATTAATCAGGTCAATATCTGGCATTTTCAGATAATCGGCCGATACCTGCACTCAGAATGTTAATGAACAGGATCAATGTCAAATCATTATTTTTTTCAAATTTTAAGGCTGATTTTTGCTCCTGAGTGAAAGTTAATTTTGGCTTTAAATATTTCTTCATGGTCAGAACAAACACTTGATGCCAAACAGTGGATCACTTCACAAATCTGAGGCAGAACATTCAAAATTATTATGATAAAATATTTTTTCAACAAATATGCATGAGTAAAATTAAGTTAAATCTTTTTTCAGTACCTCTTCCTCCACAAAATAAATATCTTTATAGAAAAAAAGAGCTAATTCATTCGTGATTCAAATGAATTCATTGTTATATTTTTGAGGAAAATTATATCGCGATAATTACTTTTATTGCCCAGCCCTTTTATAACTACCGGTCCAACAATATCTCACCATTTAATAAATAGAAACTTTGCATTTACTGTTAGCAACACAGTAGCCTCTTCATTAGCACCGAGTCTCATTTTCTATTCAGTGTATAAAACCACAGACTGTAAGAGTAAAACAGGTCAAACACTGAGAAGCACACCATTCCTGTTATTGTTTACAACTACTTCATATAGGTAACTACATTTAGTTTGGATAAACTGAAGGTAAACAGCAGTAAAAAATACACATTATACTGTAGATAACACATTTATAACACTGCATTTAACGAGTATTAAAGAAATACTTACACAAAAGTCAAAATGTTCACAGCTGGTTATTTACACTGTCCAGACTTTCTGTTTTTGTTGACCAGTAGAGCAAATGAGCTAAACTGTGCTAAGCTAAGTTAGCTAGCTGTGTCCACAAGCAGCAGCAGCTGTTACAACTAAGCCAGCTAATTAGCTTCCCCGCGACATCACGCAAACTTCGGTGTGTTGCGGGCTTTAATCTAACCAAAGGTTTCTATCTGATCTTAAACTAACGCTCCGTTATCTTAAAGACACGTCTAAACTTCTAGAAGATCCGCATCAGGATCCGGCTCAGACCGGGATCAAGCGTTCCTAGACAACACACTCCGCTTCCGATTTAAGCCTTTCAAAATAAATGCCACGAAACAAACAAGACAGCGGATCGTTAGATAAACACATATTTACATTATCTGTGTGTTAAAATACAGTGTGTTAAATTTAATTTAATAACGCGAGCTAATTCACCAGTCTGAACTTTGTTCTCTTGGTTTGCGCTTTTATTTCGAGCAGAGAAAGGCTGCGTTTAGCGGAAACTGCGGTAACTTGACGGACAACCGCCGCATCCGATGAGGTAAACGCAAAGGCTTGGTGCGTTCAGGGGCCGCACGTTTATAGGATTCAAGGTAATTTAATTACAGGGTTGAAAAGCAAGTTCCGTTTGCAACTCCCTTCTGCTGCATAGCAGACAATAAACAGTCAACTATAACCTATTTCTTGAGGAAGCTTAAGCTTACCCACCCCAGCCACAGCCTGTTCACCCTGCTGCCTTCTGGGAAGAGGTATAGAAGTTTCTGCTGCCGCACCACCAGACTGCAGAGCAGCTTTTCCCCCAAGCTATCAGACTTTTAAGCTCAAATTCATTCTTACCACTGCTCCATTGAATGTTGTTTATTTCTGTTTACCATTTTTATAATTACTTCTATTTATATATGTATATTGTCCACTAAGTTGCAGAAGGGGTTACAAAACTCAATTTCACTCTATAACCTGTTGTATTGTGACAAAATAAATCTAGCTACCTACCAAATTCCCACGCCAAGTTCTTGTCAGCATTTACAGAGAAGCAATAGAAAACATCCTCCCTGGAAACATCACCAACTGGCATGGGATGTGCACGGCCTAGGACCGGAGGGCTCTGCAGCGGGTGATTAAAACTGATATCGGTGACATGCCCAAAGGATGCTAGAAGACAGTACCCACCCAGCCACAGCCTGTTCACCCTGCTGCCTTTTGGCCATATTGTGTGCTGTGTAGCAGAAGAGAGTTACAAACTCAATTTCACTTTTCGACGTGTTGTAATGTGACACATAAATCTACCTTGTACCTTCTACTTTGTTCAAGGCACACAGAAGACTGAAATTGTGTTTCTATCATGACCCACAGTGAATGCAACACAAAAATAAACACCAGAAACAATAATCAAGCAGTTCAACAAATTATCTACAATCAGTGCAACCTATGAATCAGTGCAGCCTGCTTAATAAATGTATTTTACATAGTTTTGGGCCTTTTACTCAGTAAACACTGAACTTTTATTTAACTGCTTCCAAACATTTTTTAAACTGTATGTCACCTAGTGTTAGTGTTTTTTCTTGAGTTTTGAAAAATCTCATAACGATTATTCATAACTTGGTGAAGGTCTGAACAAGTAAATAAAATTTAAGTGACCTTTCTTAAATACTAATCCGTAAAAATGTCGTATGTACACTGAACCCATTTTTGGTCGCTGTCATTGTTCCATAACTCTTTTTCACACTGCACTTTGAAATGCTATTTTTCGTGTAATTGGGACTGTTAGTCCACTTCTTTTCCATGGTAGAAAGGAAGGGATACCTTACTTATTCTCTTATTCTATCATAATGGAGCAATAGGAATTATTACAGGGACCAAAAACTGAAAATCTACATACAAGAGGATTATTTTAAACCTTAAAACCTCACTTCATCACTCTCACACAGCAGGGTTTTTTTTTTTTTTACAACGTATGTATTAAAACACAACTCCCTTGAACGCTCAAAACTGAGGAGATGACCGTTCAAGAGGAGCCCCCCCACTCTGCCCCCCCCAAAACATCACCATACTCAACAGCCCTGTGTCTGCTGTGGAATCCTTCAGGTTTCTGGGATCCACTATATCCCAGGACCTAAAGTGGGAGCCCAACACTGACAACATTATCAAGAAGGCCCAGCAGTGGACATACTCCTGCGCCAGCTCAGGAAGCTCAACCTGACTAAGGAGCTGCTGATCCACTTCTACACAGCCATCATCAGTCTGTTCTCTGCACCTCCATCACTGTCTGTTTGGATCTGCCACCAAAAAGGACAGGGGCAGACTATAACAGACAGTCAGGACTGCAGTAAAGATCATCAGAGCCAACCTGCCCTCCATTCAGGACTTATACATTTCCAGAGTAAAGAAACTTAAATTTATTCATTTAGCTGATACTTTTATCCAAAGTGACTTACAATTGCTATATATGTCAGAAGTCACATCCTCCGGAGCAACTAGGGGTTAAGTGTCAGGGGCACAACGGTGGATTAGGTCACACTGGGGGATTGAACCCAGGTCTCTCACACCAAAGGCATGTGTCTTATCCTTGTGCTATTACCATCCGACTTCACTGCAGAGCCATCTCTCCCCGGACACTTCCTGTTCCAGCTCCTCCCCTCTGGTAGGCGCTACAAGCACTGTACGCCAAAACCAACAGACTCAGGAACAAGCCATTACTGTGATGAACAGCTGACTTCTGACACACGGTGTCAGAAACAGTTCCTGTGCAATAACCCAGTAACTCTGTCTCTAATCAGCCACTTTACTGCGTAACACTTAGTATTTATTCATCATTCTCTTGTTCTCTATTTCAGAGCTGTTAATACTGTTATATTGTCATACTGTATATACTATATACCACACCACCATATACTGTATATCACATCCACCTCCGACATGTACATTATAATAATAATAATAATGCTCATTGCATTATTGTCAATCTGTCTATATTGTTTTTGTTTTTGTTTATAGTGTGCATATTTGTGTTCTCTATTCTGTAGCCTGTGCCTGATTTTATTATCGTGTTATGTATCACTGTATGAGTAAGCACACCGTGAGCAATGTACAATCCTGAGTCTAATTCCTCGTATGTGTACACCATAGCCTGTATGGTGTACACATACCTGGCAAATAAAGCTGATTCTGATTCTGAACGCAGCTTTGCGCTGACGCCGTCTAAACGCGCCGGAAGTAGCTCACTTAGCTGCAGCAGCGCTTTTGCTTCTCGGCTCGCTTTACCAGCAGCAGCTCCGAGCTCCAGAAACAACCCGCAGTGGACTCAGACGTCCGATTTTAAATAACTTAGCTTTAACTAATCGATTGCTAAACCTTAGCAGTTAGCGCCAGTCAAGCAGACTTTTAATAACAGTAAGTGATAAATCAGTTAGCTTTGCGAGCTAACCATCTTTTCTTTTTCTGCCTGGCGTCACTTCCTACTTTTGAAAATCGCGGCCAGAAAATAACGAGACGGAGATGGAGTTACAAGGTATGTCTGTTTTTCTTTTATAAAGTATTGATTTGTCTGTTATAATGTTTGTTGTAATGTAATGTTTATGTGTGTAACGTTATCAAACATCTGTCTGCTCTTAAAGGCTGTTAGCTCTTCATTAGAAGATACACAAGTACTTCCCATGTTCACACCGACTGACAGCAAGTTAATAAAAGCAGAGATTTGACTGGATGTTGCTGTAATAACATTTACTGATCCTGATCCGAACAGACAGACCTTATTAAACAGGACTGAAGTGGATTCTGACCCGCTGGACTCTGCAGTCCCGTTTAGACATGATGCCATAAAATGAACTTTTACTAACACACTGATTGGCACATAATGCATTTCTTAAAAAGCAGTAACTGATTTGAATGAGAACCCAGACTGATCCAGCAGGGGACCCCAAACCTCCCTTTCCAGAGCCACATTAACCAGCTCTGACAATACAATCTCTCCACCTAGTCCTGGGTCTTCTTAGAGACCTCCTCCCAACTGGATGTGCCTGGAACATGTTCCTAAGGAGAAGCCAGCCACCCTCCTGCCAAAACCCATTTCAGCCACTTGTACATGCGATCTAAAGAAACCAGACCTCTTTTTTTTTACTTTGGTGTAAAATTGTGACATCTGAGTCTCAGAGTCCAGAATCGGGTTGTCTGTAAAATAAATCTCTTGATATCTTTCAAAAAACCCAGAAGATCGTTGTCAATGCTCTGAAGCAACTTCCAGTTCTTTTCTATCCATCTTGATGGGGGAAAAGAAAAGGATGTTTTCTAATCCAATAAAAATGATAGCTGGAGGTGACACATTTCTCTGCTCAATTTCGATAACATGAACCAAAATATATTATTAATTGTGTGTAGAGCTGCAACGATGAATCAGTTAGCTATTGTGATGATTGATAAATTGGTTTTAGTCATTTTTTATTTTAATTTTTTAGGTAAAAATTCCCTGATTCCAGCTTCTTAAGTGTGAATATTTTCTGGTTTCTTTCCTCCTCTGGAACAGTAAACTAAATATATTTCAGTTGTGGACAAAACAAGACATTTGAGGACATCACCTTGAGCTTTGGGAAACACTGACATTTTATAGACCAAACAACTAATCGAGAAAATAACAAGTGACAGATTATTCAACAGTAAAAACGATAGTTGGTTACAGCGCTACTTGTGTGGTACAAAATGAGCAAGCAGACACAGTACGAATCCTCTGGCTCACTGCTGCTCCTTTTTGTTTTTTTGGTAAGAAAATAAAGTTATACCTTGGTAAATATAAAAATAAGTCTGTGCAGGAGGTATATTTGATTTGCCGCAGTTTACATTAGATTAAATTAAAGAAACACCAGACTGTTCAACCCAGATGGTGACCACTTGTCTCTAATCAGTCTTCCTGTCCCCCTCTCTCAGTGGGAACTGAACCGATGACCCTGGGATCTCCCACCTCTCCAAAGCCGACCTCAGGAGCGCAGTTTCTTCCCGGCTTCCTGATGGGTGACCTGCCAGCTCCAACTACCCCCCAGCCGCGGCCCTTCAGCCTGGCCTCGCCCCTTGTGGAGAGCACAGGTATGCACCGAGGTCAGCAGGAAGACTGCCCCCTGCAGATCAGCTGATTGTCATTTGTTCTGTAGATTTATAAGTGTGTCCTGTCCTGCACTTTAGGAGGAGGTGGAGGAGGAGGCTCCGCCCTGCAGCCAGTTTGCCCCACCCCCAAGGATAAGAGTGGCGCCCCACCTGTACGCAGCATACATGATGACCTGGTTAATGTTGCGACGCCCCTCAACACACACAGGCAGGTTAGTTCTCACTGATGGAGCCCAGCAGCCTGTTGCACCAGCTCAAAGAAAGGTTCAAATTGTGGACGTTTTACGATGACAAAGTCCAAGGCCACTTATCTGCAAGAAGTCTATCTCAGCCTGACTCGTGTCCACTTTGTTTCCAAATATCCACACTCCATGAGTACCCAATGTACTTAAATCCGTTCTTAAATGAAAATTCTTGGCCGACGCCGAAACTGAATATAATGAAAAACACCAAACAAGTACGTTCACATTTTTGCCATTTTTTTTACCACTGCATAAACTAAATAGTCAAAATGTGCTTTTTACGCAGTGTTTTCCCCAGGATTTAGAGAGACTATGGTGGGTGGGTCCGAGGCACGAGAGGGTCCGGTAAAGTAAATTACATGTGTCCATTTACTTTTAATGGACACATGTAATGTGTTTTATACTTTCTGTGAATATAATGCAATTAATCTTATTTCCATCCTGTATAGATCCAGAAGACGAGTTCTGTGTTTTTGGCGACTTTATAAAACGTACTGATGAAAACAAAAAATAGGGTGGAGAGCAAAGTAAAATTAACATGGTGAAAAAGGAACTGACCTACTAGAAATAGAGGTATACCCCATTTACACTCTAATTCCATAGGAAACACTGTACATGGATTTTTTTGTTTTTCACTACGGTTTTATATATACACACACACACACACACACACAGGTGCTGGTCATATAATTAGAATATCATCAAAAAGTTGATTTATTTCAGTAATTCCATTCAAAAAGTGAAACTTGTATAATGTATACATTCATTCCACACAGACTGATATATTTCAAGTGTTCATTCCTTTTAATTTTGATGATTATAACTGACAACTAATGAAAACCCCAAAATCAGTATCTCAGAAAATTAGAATATTGTGAAAAGGTTCAATACACCTGGTGCCACACTCTAATCAGCTACTCAAAACACCTGCAAAGGCCTTTAAATGGTCTCTCAGTCTAGTTCTGTAGGCTACACAATCATGGGGAAGACTGCTGACTTGACAGCTGTCCAAAAGACGACCATTGACACCTTGCACAAGGAGGGCAAGACACAAAAGGTCATTGCTAAAGAAGCTGCTGTTCACAGAGCTCTGTGTCCAAGCACATTAATAGAGAGGCGAAGGGAAGGAAAAGATGTGGTAGAGTAAGAGTAAAGTGTAGAGTAAAAGTGTACAAGTAATGGGGATAACCGCACCCTGGAGAGGATTGTGAAACAAAACCTACTTTTCAGTTGGCCAACATTTCTAAAAATTCTTTTTTTGTATTGGTCTTAAGTAATATTCTAATTTTCAGAGATACTGAAGTGGGGATTTTCATTAGTTGTCAGTTTTAATCATCACAATTAATTGAAATAAACATTTGAAATATATCAGTCTGTGTGGAATGAATGAATATAACTTTATGATGATATTCTAATTATATGACGTGTGTGTGTGTGTGTGTGTAAATAAAACATTAACTGAAGTCTCAGGCTTCCATCTCAGTGAAAAAAACCGAAGCATGAAAACTTAGGGAACCACTGAGAAAATGTTTTGTTCTAAAAGTAAGAAAAACAGCATTTAATAATCAGACAGTTTAAAGTCTTAACATTTTGTAAATACTTCTGTCTTGCTGTCTAGTCTTTTCCAGCTATGCAGTCTCCTCTGTCTGCACGTGGGGCCTCAACTCCAGGAACAGGTACACACTGCTACTAACACTACTATCTACTGATACCTGTACTACCTTTTCTATTGCTGATATTCGTAGTGACTCTACAACAAGTACTAACACTGATACTACTGCTGGTATATCTGTTTAAATGTTGGTTTAAAAGACAATTATGCAAGCCAAGAAAGTCGCAGTTTGTCATAAAACTGTTAAAGTATAAGACATGAGATATGTAATGAAAAAGACGTGTCTCTTAATGACTGAAGCTAACGTTACTGAAGCAAACGTCAAAGAGCTTACATGAATAGATGATGTGATGAAAGGATAAGATCCTTTTTGTTAACTAGAAAAAGTCTCTCATCAAAGCCACCAGACTCTTATTGATTAAAAACAGTAGTTTTAGCTCACAGAACAAGGGAGTTGCTGGTGTACCGCTGCCTCGGTTAGTTAGTTAATGTGTCATTTGGTGTTTTTGTTTGTTTGTGTTTTTGTGTGACTTTGGTTTTTTTAAAGAGTTAAAAATACCTAAGAACTGCAAGAACAAGTGGAAGAAGTTGACTGGCCCACTCAGAGTCCTGACCTCAACTCCATTCAACACCTTTGGGACGAACTAGAACAGAGATTGTGAGCCAGACCCTCTCCTCCTCTTGTCCGACCTCACAAATGCTGTGGGCAAAAATTCCCACAGACAAAATCTTGTAGAAATTTGCATAAGAGTGGAAGCTGTTAGAGCAGCAAAGGGGGCACCAACTCCATATTAATGCCTTTGGATTAAGTATGGGGTGTCATAAAAGTAATGTGTAGGTGTCCCAGTACTTTTGTCCATATAGTGTTAACTATTTACAAGCAAGCAATGGTTGTGAGCTTACAGCTCTAACATGATGATGTCTTATATAAAGCGAGACGAGCGATGTAGTTCGTTGAGCGGTTCATACAAAACTAAATGTTACCGTACAGTTTTACGACCAACTGCAACTTTCTTGATGGATGAAATTAAACTGACAAACATCAATTCGAGGGACAATTCAAACAATAAAATATATTAGTCGTCTCTCGCCATTGACTACTGTACATACAGTGAGGGGAAATAAGTACTGAATGCGTCAACATTTTGTTCAGTGAACAATGAGACTATTCACATGAAAGTTTCACCAGACTTTGGTATTAACTCAAGAAATCCACACATATAAAGAAATCCAAACATTAAAGACCACAAATATGTTATGTGCTATAAAGTGGAATGACTCAGGAAACAAGTATTGAACACGCTAAGAAAAAGCATGTCTCCAAGGCAAGGTAAGTCTAGGAACTAGCTGAAATCCATCAGTAGTTAGTAGAAAGTAATTATACCTTCTGTCAGAGCAAAGTGAAACCAGCTGGGTTAGTAAATGATGTGTCTACAAAAAGGCTTTTCCTTATCAAGGTGTTACACAAGAAACATCTTATGATGGGTAAAAGCAAAGAGCTCTCCCAAGACCTTCGTGTGCAATACTTTTTTCCTGTGTCATTCCTCTTTGTTACACATAACTTTATTTATGGTCTTCAATGTTTGGATTTCTTTATATGTATGGATTGCTTGAGTTAATACCAAAGTCTGGTGAAATTTTGATGTGAATAGCCCCAATGGAAGTATGTTTACTGAACAAAATGTTGACGTGTTCAATGCTTCTTTCCCCCACTGTATATTTTCCGCATTAAGGTGCCGTGGGGCGGAAGTGGAAGGGAGAAGTACTCTGTATGAAGTACTTTGTTAAAGTCAGGGAACAACCGCAATCTCTCGGCAGATTTCTGTGTGTTTTCAGCCAAAGATCATGTGTGAGTGAAAGGACACCTCACTCTGTAACGCCACCGTATGACTGAGAATGGGCCGTGTGTTTGTTGTTCCATAAAACAGTCCCCCTCTGCCTGTCTCCAGGTGTGCAGCAGGTGTGCATGTCTCCAGCTCAGGTGGATCCCTTCTACAGTCAGGGAGAGGCTCTGTCGTCTGACGATCAGCTGGACCAAACCTGGGTCACCGTGTTTGGGTATTTATACTGCTACATGTATTACTCACACACTGCTGTACTGCATAACATCCTGTGAATACATATACATTTTTGTGTGTGTGTGTGTTAGTTTTCCTCCAGCCTCAGCCTCCTACATCCTGCTGCAGTTCGCTCAGTATGGAAACATCCTCAGACACACGGTGAGAGACACACATGTTAGAAAGGAGCACTGGTATTACATGTTCACGTCTTTTACGGACAAGAAAAATAAAAAAAATTAAAAACACTGCTGATGTGTCACGTTTAGCAGGTCACCGTTGGTTTGTGAGTTGGGGAAAAAGAGAACAGGCAGATCCACGCACAGATGAAATGGTTAGATGAAAAGCTGCAGGATGTCATGCTCAACAACCTGTCATAGTACGACTAAAGTGCTTGTTTTTGCCGCGGACCGAATCAGATTGTTATTCTAAGGTCTGACAACATTATGGCAAGGATCCCTACAGAGCATGTCATTTTAGCTCACAGAACACGGGAGTTTCTGGTCTGTCGCTGCCTCGTCCGTTAGTTTGTTTGTGTTATTGTGTGACTTTTGTGCTAAAAGGGTTAAAAACACCAAAGTCACAAATTAACCCTAACTAACTAACCAATGGGGACAACGATAGACCAGAGAGGTAAAATTCCTATTTTTGTCAATGGAGTCTGGTGGCTTTGACGGGAGCGATAGTCACTATTTGTAGTTGAGCAAAAAGGATCTTACTCTTTAAAAAAAGGTCTCTCTCTGTAGGGATCGTTTTCATAATGGGGTTAGACACTTATAATAACAATGTGAGCCAGACAGTGGCAAAAACAAGCCCTTCAGTGACACAAGCACACAAACAAAACAAACCGATAGACCAGAAATGTAAAATCACTCCATTTTTGTCAGTGGAGTCTGGTGGCTTTGACGGGAGCGATATAGTCACTGTTTGTAGTTGAGCAAAAAGGATCTTACTCTTTAAAAAAAGGTCTCTCTCTGTAGGGATCGTTTTCATAATGGGGTTAGACACAGTGACACAAGCACACAAACAAAACAAACCGATAGACCAGAAATGTAAAATCACTCCATTTTTGTCAGTGAGTCTGGTGGCTTTGACGTGTGCGATATACTGTAGTGACTGTTTCTGTTTAAACAAAAGGTCTCTCTCTCTTTTCACAATGTTGTCAAGACACAACTTTAGTGGAAGTACTTTGCCAGCAAAATTACGTTACAGCCCATTCGCTCAATACTGGACCAATTTATTTGTAAAGTCACATAGACACAAAAAAGAAAATAAGGTCTTAAAAATACCAACATAGCCATAAAAGTTACTCGCAGCGGTTCGGCACTGTTTGTCATGTTGTCAGTCATCCTAAAGCTGCTTAGACAAGAACAGGATGGTGTGCTGCTCTCAAGTCAGAATGTGGTGGTCACATTTTAACAGAGGTTTATGCATTATAGCAATTTCATAAACTGTCTAGATCCTTGTGTTTTAATATATGTGCGTGTATGAACGTTACTGTTAAGTTTTAAAGATACATTTACACGTTTACTTGTAAGTATTGAGAAAGATCTCGGTAAGTTTCATGCTGCGAGGAGGGTGTAACAGAGTAGGGTTTAGGTATCTGAATCTGTATCAGGCTCATGTGGAGAATCACTGCAGGACGTGATGCTGAGAGAAGAATTAAGAATCCTGATCAGTGACCTCTGAAGTATAGCTTGGGAACAGCTACACAGTCAGTCCAGGCTTTAGAGCTGCATTCATGTGAATTGATAAATATATTGATTCACTGACAGATGGCGTCTCCTGGTAACTGGATGCACCTTCAGTATCAGTCGAGACTTCAGGCCAGGAAAGCTCTGTCCAAAGATGGAAAAGTGTTTGGCGACGCCATCATGGTGGGAGTCAAACCCTGCATAGACAAGGTCAGTACCCGCGATTACCGCCTACGTGTTTGTCTGACTGTCTGTTCATCTCTCTGCCGTCTGATTGGTCCTCCACATCAGGCGACAATGAGCCAAGTTTTGAAGCCTGAACAGCGGTGAAGTTGTTTCTCTGCCTGTCTCTGCATCAGAGTGTGATGGACAGCAGTGTAGCCGTCTCTTCTCCGCTCTCCACCTCCTTCTCCTCCTCTTCCGTCCTCCCCTCCACTCCTCGCTCCGCCATCAGACCACTCAGTGCCTCTTTCAGGAGCTCCGGCAGCGACTACCAGGTAACCTCTGGCCTCCGGTTTCACTCTGCGTCTGATCTGAACCGTGCGTTTGGTTGACCTCAGAAATAAATCTGTGTGTCTGTCTTCAGGTGGTGGCAGACAGACAGACACCCAGGAAGGACGACAGTTTTGTTTCCAAGGCTATGGAGTACATGTTTGGCTGGTGACATTGCACAGTGCATCATGGGATACCTGCAGCCTCGGAGGAGAGTGGGGAATCAATGGACAGATGGAAGAACTGATTCACTACAGTGTGTGTGTGTGTGTGTGTGTGTGCTGAGGTAGAGGCTCTTTCTGTCTTTTCTCTCTCTCTCTCCTTTTATAATCAGTATTTTTTTTTTTTTTTTATGTTTTTGTCTCAATAAAGTTTTTCTCTGCTTTGAATTCAGTGACGCAAAGGTTTCGTTCAGAGGTGGCGATCTCTCAGCAGCCACACAGTGGCACTGTTCACATCACAAAGTGCCACAAAAAGAAAATGTTCTGTAAAGTATAAAACAGGCTCATATTGGAGAGGAAGGTTAAGGAACTGGGCTGGCAGACACAAATGCAAGAATTATAGCAGGTCAAGCAAAAAAAAAAATTCAGTAGCCTAAAGGGAGGTAAAACTTTGAACGACATTGAAATGCATAAGTAAGTCTGGTAATAGGATGAAATGGCGGAATTGTATGATAAATCTGTCTTCTATCTTCTTCTAACTTGCACATTGATGTTATTTGGTATACAACCACAAAAAGGTTGAGCTGTTCTCCTAAATTTTGGTATTTTACTCACATAAACGTTTAGAAAAATGTTGGTAACTGACGGTGATAAAGAAAATGAACTTTCAGTAGGTTCTGCCACAAAAATTAATTTGTATAATATCGTAAAAAAACTTAAATTAATAGCCCTGGCTTTTATTTGCTTCAATCCCTCAACTCACCCTGCTTGTATTTGGGACCAGCCTTTAATTCCTTCTCCACAAACTCTGGGGAAATATGCTACTATCAAATTGTTTATTTCAATCAATAAGAATTTTACTCGTCTAAAAATTAGGCTATCAGATAAATTATCAATTACAAATCATTAATTGATCCAGCCCCAAGAGAGACAGCCCATCTAAGCCAACCTCAAGACCAAAATGGTACTCATTGTTTTCGTAAAATGAACTGAACGATTGAATTGTGAAAAATCTCACCGATGTGTAGCACGTCCATATTGACAAAAGTTTAAACACTTATATTGCAATAAATGTGCAGTCTAAGCAGCTTAGGAGCTCAAGCAGGCGTCCTGGTGGGCTTAAAGATGTTTTATACATCCAAAGAATTTCTATAAAAATCAGACCAGACCAGTAAAAGCGACGGGTGTCCAATTGGCACTAGGGTTTTTAATTTTAAGTTTTACAGTAATAAACAATACAGTATATGTAATGGCTTTATGGTCTCTGTTGTATGTATAAAACAGTATCTTGGCCAGTAGATGGGGCCACAAGTCCTGCATCACAAACTTCCAAGAAGTCCATTATGTAGAAGTCACATTGTTGGGAATATTTGAACCCTGATTGCAGAAACAGTTCAAGTGTTCACCAAAACAGGACAGAAGAGCACCAGGAAGCAAAGGGTCATAAACATGTATTCTGTTTAATCGTGAATGTTATAGGCTTATGTAATTGGTCCACGCCCTCTTGTCAGTTTTGGATCAAGTTAAACAACATTTTCTTATTAGGCAGGTGTTCCTTGGTGTGCTCTACATCAATGAATCACTAATGTATAATGAGAAATGAAGCTGGCCGCAAATACACACAATGATGTTCCTGCCTTACTTACCAAAGAGGCTCGGTGTCAACTAAGATTGGTTTTAGTGAAAAGCATGGACACAAGTCAAAAGGCACTTTCAAGTACAGGTAAGAGTGGGCCCCTTTTTCTGAAGTGTGTTTGTAGGACACAATTAAATATACCTGAGGAGTTATATACAGACCAACGGGTAGAACAGCCAGTGTGGGGTCATGACAGAATGCACTATTAAACAACACAAACATTTCCTTCCATTTTCAATTTCTTTGAACAGTCAGACCCCCCATCTGACCCACAACAAAAATCCAGGAAAAACAAACAAATATACATTATGGACATATAAACTGTGGATATTTTGAGCATGTCTTGTCCAATAGCCCCATAGTTAAAGATCATTCAGAGTTCAGCAGCTTTTAGAAGGCGATCTCAGAATGAGGGACTGACTGAACGTGCAATAAGGGATGCAATTGTCACAAACTAGTTTTGAATGGTTCACCTCTGATGATTGTGCCTTTGCAATGAATGTACAGTGATAAGTGACAGTTGAAGTTTAATGGATTATTTTTCGTTTGATATTGACAGCTGTTTGTGGCATTATTTTTTCTTTTACTTTACGGTACTAAATTACATAATGGGTAATGTCTAATTTATCTACTTTGTCACTGTAAAGTTTCAACAAATCAAGGGCAAAATATAAATAAATGTTTATATAGGCTACTACATGATAAAAATGTTGTATTGTTTGGAAAATTTTAAAAGTTTTGTGACATTTTGTTCCTGAAATCCACTCTCTATCGACTCTCTGTTGGGATCAGGATAACCCTGATTGTTTTGATCAAAGGGATCCCAATCCTACTAAAAAGTTTTGAACGACACAAACTGAAGGTTTGATCCAGATCAAACCCAGGATCGGATTCGGTGATCTGATCCGATTTCAGAATCCTTTTTTCTTTTGAACAACCCATTTTCAAGATTCGATCCAATCCAATAGCCAAAATCCGATCAGATTACTTTTGAACAACTGGGCCCTGGAGACAGATTAAGGGAGGATTTCCTTTCCTTGGCATCAGCCTCACTTACTGTCCTCTCAGAAATCTCCCACTGGTTGACCTTTCTCCCAGTAGCCACTTACCTCTGGTGTATGCTATCCCAACATATGGTCTCCTCAGCACTCACTCTACTGGTACACCAGTGGATAAATGACTTGAACAGACCTCGCTGCCTGCAAGGTATGCAGAACAGAAGGCATGCTGCTAGAGAAAGGAAAGAGTGAGGGGGGTTGTGAGTGGGAGAAACGGGGGAAGGCTTTGGTTGAGCTTATGGTTGAGCCTCCTGATCTTACATAGGACATTTAAAACCATATTATTAAGGGATGGTCAGTCGCTACAGATCTCCCATTAGAACAACTTGGGAAAGTAGTTTATGTAAATGAAAATATAAACTGTCTTTATGGAAGAGAGGATGCTGTGTGGAAGTTGCTTGAAGTCTTCCTGGACCCAAATTCTTTTGAGTATGTTCCTTTAATTCATATTGCCATCTATAAAATGACATTATTTTGTTTACTCTGAATACGTCACCTCCTGCAAGGTGTGTAGTGTACACATAACTCTTAATCTTTTATATTCTGTATTTTTCTCTTCTATTTAATGTGTATTTTCTTATCTGTTGTGTTGTATTTGGAGCTGCAGTAACAAGTGAATATCCCTAGTGTGGGATCAGTAAAGTCTATCTTATCTTATCACTTGTCTGTCTGTCCTGAAAGAGGAATCCCTCATCAGTTGCTCTTCCAGGTTCTGGGTTTTTAAAATACACAATTGTGCAAACAAACTAAGCTATTAAGGCAAAAGTAGACCAGAGACGTAAAATTACTATGTTTGTGTGGTGTTTTTGACGAGAGCAATGTAGTGACTGCTTCTGGTTAAACAAAAAGGATCCATATCTTTAGTGATCCTTTCCATAATGTTGTCAGACATTTATAATAACATTCTGAGCCTTTCAGTGGTAAAAACAAGAACTTTAGTGACACAATTACACAAACAAACGAACTGATAGACCAGATATGCAAAATTATTATTTTTATCAATGGAGTCAGGTGTCTTTATAAGAAGGATTTAACAAAAAGGTTAAACAAAAAGGATGTTACTCTTTAAAAAAAAGGTCCATAATGTTGTCAGACATTTATAATAACAATCTAAACCTGTCAGTCGCAAAAAAAATAAGCACTTTAGAGGACATACTTTGACAGGACGCAATTGCCCGCAAGGACCACATTGTGAAACGCTATGCTAATGACGCATTACTTGGTTCCACACACCAGACGTAATGATTGGTTTCATGTGTCGAATTCCCCCTGACCCCTCCCCCTCTCTCTGAAGTATCGCGATATGTCAACACTGCTGGTTTTGGGGGTTACAGAAGAGATATCTCGCGCTACCTGCGCACTCTACGTCTCATTCCGCCACGGTCAAGCCAACTGGGAAGGGGTTTCTGTTCAACAGTAATCATTTCATTTGGAAACTATATTTATACGAAAGACTTCGTTTTATTTATTTAAAGTAAACGTAATCGTCTAGTTAACTTTCTAGGTAACCGTTGGCCGAAGGTCGTAATTTGTAAGTTACAGGGAAAAAAGAAGCTAATTTAACGTTAACAGCATAGCCGGTGTCGTGCTAACAAAGAAAATCCTTTCTCTTCAGAAATAATCTCCTAATACTCCTCTTTAGTTATGAGTCATGTGGTCGTTGATAATCCACACGGTCTAGAGCAGCAGGTGAGTACTTTAAGCTGGTTACTTTTTGTAGTTTTTTCCTTTAAAAATGTGGTTATTTTCCGTTACGCACATGCAGTTTCGACAGAGAAAGAAGGGGGCTTCGTTAGCTCCGTCGCTATGTTAGCCTTCAGCTAAGCTAACGCTGCGGCTGGTCAAAATGGAGGTGGTGTCGCTGTAGAGAAGATTGTGATGGCGGAGCTCGCCACTACGGACTAAACTAGCGCCGTTTTTAGGGCTGTATTTCCGTTTAAAATGCAACAGTCGTCTTAAATTCTACTTAATATAATATGTAATTAACCTCTGGTGTGGTGTTTTGAATTAAAGGCAGTTTACAAGGTTGGCTTAAGGTTTACGACCCGGCCGGTATCCTACTAACTTAGCCCGGCTAATGTCGGGCCTTCTCAACCTGAAACGTGGCGCAGAAGAAAATGTTGAACAGCCGGGTTTTTAGCCACCATTTATGTTTTTTAAAAGTAATGGTCTCGACTTACTAAGTCGTTCAGTCTGTATTTATTACGAGAAGCTACTTGGCTACAAGTATGAATTCACACTATTTCGCGTTTTTGTCTTTAAATAGTATTAGTAATGTTATCTGAGTATTTGATCAGAGGTTAGATGGTCCTGCCATTTCGATAATTAGTTTCATCAAAGCCAAAAAAGGGGATTTGTAGTCTTTTGAATTATAGGTTCAGCCTGAAATGCAAACCCAATTGAAACTATTTTGTGTGTGTGTAATCAAATATTTCAAGTTGGGGGATTGCTAAAGGTGTTTAGACATTTTATTGTTTTACCCTCTATTGTTTGTAGTTTCACACTCATTGTGTATGCTCATCTGATTTATGAAGTTTCTTAAACATTTCCCTCTTTTTCTTTATAGCTTGCTGTCCTAGACTTGAACTCTGCTGACGGGCAAGGCGGAGGAACTGGCAGTAAGTAATAAAGCAGATTTAACTTAAAAGATGTGATTACCAGTTTTAAGCCTTATGTCAATACAATTTGGCACCGTTGTATTGAATAAGTTCAAGTTACTAATGGAAACCAAAACTGTTAAGATACGATTCCTTTATTAGTCCCTTGTAGGGGATATTTGTGTTGGCACAGAGGATTGTAAAGAACAAAAATACAATTAAAGTAAAATCAATAGCTTTCATACATAGCAGGATAAATAATGTACACACTTTATAGCATCAATGTATAATTAACATTCAACGTAGGAGTAGACGTAGGACTTGTTATAATGAAATCCACTTGAACACAAGGCTTTGCTTTAAGTGAAGCTTCTTGTGTGCAAATCTAAGTTTGTAAGCAATTCAAATCTTAATGAGTCCTTAGCTGTATGTGGCATGTGACCTTTGTTTTTTCTCTCCACCTAGGGCGTTACATTCCACCTCACTTGAGAAACAAAGATGCTCCTCCTAAAAATGGTGAGTTTACTTCCAACACCCCCCCCCCCCCCCCGCAAGCCGTAGTCAGACCATCAACATAGGGCTGACTTGGTGGTTTCAATGTTAAAAAGCCCCATCAGAGCATGGTAAAAGCAAGTACAATTGAGAAACATAGCACATTGATCTTGACCAGTCGAGACAAAGATGAATGGTTCTGCAGTGTTTCTGCTGCTTCAGACCATGGGAGTTTTGAGGACATTCTTTTCTTACTAGTGCACAGAATGCCATGTCGAGTTGTCTTTTTTTGGTGTCTGTGCATGAATAAAGTAAGGCAAGTAGCACTGTTAGTTACCTCAGGGCACATTTTATGTAGGGCAAATCTAGCTAGACCCTACTCTTTATAATATAAGTGGGGCAAATTTGAAGACTATTTTCACAAGTAGTTTGTCAATGTTTATTCTTGTCTCCCATGTGAACAAGAGTGCTAGCTGTTGAATGCTCTGAAAAGGGAATTGTAGTAGGTGTTAAAGTGTTGACATCTATGGACTACTGGTGTCTTTTTTTTAATCATCTGTACTTGTTTAGCCTCTTAAAGGCTTTAAATCAAGACATGTAATGCCTGACGTACTCATTCAAGTACTTTTGAAAAGATCTTGGAATCATGGTACCGTGTCATTGCACACTTGACGTTTTTCTCGTTTTACTGTTTTCTTATTCCACAGCAGGAAATGCTTATTCCGCTGGTAGACAGTGCGGTTATTCAGTGGCACCAGTAACCCTCTGTAAGTCCCTTCTGTCTGCTTTCGCTGAGGGCAACCTGCATTTTTAGATGCATGAAATAGCCATTTTACACACCAGCAAAGCCAGTGCAAAAGGAGGAGAGGGTTAGAGCTACACACCTCACAGTAAAACTTAATAATGGGCTCATGATTAATTGATGTGCTTCTCTCTGCTGCTATGCTTGCAGCCAAAATAAGAAATATTAAAGGTAAAGGACAATTTGTTTAAAGCATAAACTTGTTGGGGTAATGCTTTCCCTTACTGTAGTGAGATGGATCTTTAATCTATTTGAGCATATGATAAATGCATTAAAATATATTTTTCCCCATTCTGTATTCAAGCCCATATCACCTGCAATGTCCCCCAAGCTGCTTCTAAGCAATTCCTACAGCCATGGCAGGCCGAGTGTCAGCAAAGGCACAGAGATAACTATACATCAGGATGGGATGACAGTAATATTGGTAACTATTAGTGTATAGTCAAGCCCAACACTCATACTGCATGAGCCAGTAATTATGGGTGAGTCCTTTTTATAGCCTGCTTCCCTACCTTTGCTCAGGTTACCCAAGACTGGCCTCTCAAGAGCTTGCCTTTTACCATGCCTTCAGTGGGGGTTGGCGAAACAGATGTGGTATATCTTGTCCTCTATCTGCATGCCATGCCATCAACGTGTTGGTAGAGTTTTAGTGTATATAGCTGAACACGGGCCATAAACGGTGTGCCCTTGCTTTGTCATGGTCACCTGACAAAAGCAGCAGAAATCTGGGTCCAACAGCGTTTGTCAAAGCTTGCAAAGGAAGTTGCTTATGATGCATGGTGCCTTAATGACTGTGCACTGCATCACTAGTGTGGCTGTTGTACTAATGAGACCATATCGGCTGTGAAAGAATTATTTAAGACATTCACTTTTTTTGCGTTATATCCTTTAACCTCTTTCAGTCTGTCAAGAAATAAAAGTATGGATTGCCAAGAAACTGAGCTTTACATTGCTGCCTTGGCCTAATTCAATCACCCACTCATTATTAATCACAAGTCTCGAAGTTCGTTCTTTTTTAGTTCTTTATAGACCGTGTAGCCATTTGTCTGCCTGCGGCAAACTGAAAAGTAAGTGGGATTATTGAAAACAGAGCTGCATACAGGCTTTTGTTCCAGCTACTGGCAGCTGCAGGTGATGGCTTTGATTAGTTAGTTCTCTCTTAGGTGGAGTTAAAATAACCATTGAAATCTTCCAGTGTAGTCGGTGGTTGAATGAAACCCCTCTGCACACTATTTGAATACTCCTGATGTCTGTCTGAAAGAGATGTTTGTTTCTGCTGGGTTGTTTCAAAGTAGTGCTCATTAGGTGCGGTGAATAGACCAACTGACAGACATCTTTAGCTTGTCTGCATTTAATGTGCAGACTATCCATGCTCAGTTTTATCCTAAGTGTAGTTCTGGGATATAAAACTGCGTTTACTTACTTACGTTAAGTATAAGAGGACTCATGCCAGCATGTAGTCTCTGAAGTCGAGCAGGCTCTAGTTGATGCACCCCCTTGTGGGTGGCTCAAGACACACCTGAAATATGTGAGACTGTGCTAGGGGGCATATTCTCCTTTTCCAAACAGTATTGGATTCAACAGACTACTGAAAGCTCACACTTATAAGGTTTGAAAACATTTTTACCTGTCAGACATAAACGTATTTTGGCATTGGTGTCTCTCAATTAGGCTGTGATATTACTGCATGGTCTACCTTGCAATGTTTGCAGAGTGCATGTGCATTGTTTTTGTCTGATACCAGCCTGAGTGACTAAATTCTACCAGAAATTCGGATCCTGTATGTTTTGAGCTGCACATGTTTAAAGTAAAGCTCAAAACTGTTGTAAACATTTGGACTCAACAGTGAGTGTCTCTCCACATCTGAACTGGAAGTTATTACTTTCATGCCGCCCTTGATTGCGTTGCAGTTCCCAAATACTCCATGAACTGACTAAATATCTTATCTCAGGGCTCTATGCTAACCTCTTCCCAAGGAGCACATGTGTTCCTAACAAAAATGTAACAGTTTAACAAACTATTTATTATACACATTTATACAATGTGTTTGCTTTTTCTCCTTGTGTTCAAATATGGTATGAAACCATTGGAAAACTGCAAGTGAAGACCCTTGTACATTGTACCATGTACATCTGCCTTAATATTTTGTTAAAGGTTTTTAAAAATATTGAAACAGATGTTTTGAAATTTTAGGCATACACCAGCACCCACCCACACAACCCACACCTAATGTAAACAACACTACTGGGCACTATTACAATAACTTTAGTAAATCAGAAAAGGGGGAATGTGTTAAGTAATTCTGCTTTGAATTGACAGTGTAGCCTCTGCGTAGCCCCGGACACTATAGTAGCCTGACGTGCACCTCCTACTCTCGAGAGCACACTGGCATACCTCCAGTTTTGAGTGTATTAGTGTAATAATATAACATTAGATTAAAATTATACTGCTAGCATGTTAAAATATAAATTTAATTTTACTATATGTAGGCTATTGTCATTGTATGTAATGTATGTATACTATAAAGCCCACCACTAGTGTAAAATTACAACGAAGCAACCCGCTCACCGGGAACACTCTCGGTGCTCCTGAGGCTAGGTGGCTTTTTTTCCCAACTCATTTGACAGCTTTGCATCGCGTCCTGCACGCTACTACGGGCGGGATGTTTTGACTGATTAGCGTTGCGGCGGGCAGTGTGGGGGGTTTATTGTAGGTTGTAGTTATGGTAGTTACTCGCACATTGTGCTTGTAAATTTTTCCGGTTCGCACGCATCGATTTTTAGGGGCATATGCGAGCAAAATGGCCGCACTGTAGAGCCCTATATCTTCCATCCAATGGTTACCCTTTTTAGCTTGATTTAGAAAATATTAGACGGTCTGAATTTAATCACTCAGATTGGGTATCCAAGTCAAAATACTTGTGGCACCATTTACTTGTCAAAGCTACAGGCTGATGTACAGCACACAGATGGCGTGTGAAGCATTTACAAGGCATTCCCCTTGTGCTTACTTAAAGGGGGCATCATGATGGAAGCAGCATTATGGCAATCATAAGTCAGTTACCCCTCCCCCCACTCAGCTGGTGTCCAAAGCTGGGCAGATTGTTGTGGTAAATGTCTCATGCAGGCAGAATCGGGGCTCAGTAGTCTCTGGGTAAAGAGGAGTCATTCTACCCAAATAATGTGAATAGTCAGTGAATTATTTTTTTTATCTAAAACCTTTTGATTTCTCTGCATCTATTCACTTGTGCAGGTGTAGAACTTGCTTTGCATTGTTTGCCTACTTTCTCATAATGGACATTAACTTGACCTGTGATAGCCTTTTTTCTGCTAATCATGCTTTTCTGATAATTATGCAAGCTTTCACCCCAGGTTCTGGTCTGCATCCCATCTTTCAGTAAATTTGGCGAAACAATAGGTGAAAACTTGAGGAGAGACTCATGGCTAGTAAGGACTCCTTTGAGTACAGCCAAATGTGTACTTGCTTACTGACACAAATGAGTTAACATGTGCAGCATTTATTTGCGCTTCCTCACACGGCTCTTTTTATTCTGGTTTTTCTTTTTATTGCCTTCAATGAAGACTCACCTGGATGGGACGGCGGACGCAGCAATGGATTCGTGAATGGTTACCATGACAACCGCACAAATGGTGGCTTTGGAGGGCGAGGACCCCCTCGCAATGATAGAGGTGGGCGTGGCGCCTACCGTGGTAACAGGGGTGGAGGCTCGTTTAATCAACCATTACAAAATGCAGGTGGGGACATGGCAACCCTGACATGCTTTGAAGTCTAATTGTAGAGCGACAGTGTAGTTAAAGTTGAAAACTCGACCCCCACCACCCCTCCAGTTGTTACTATATCAGAAGCTTAGTCTGCATATGCATAAAGGATTTGCAGTAAATTTAAGTTAAATTAATATTACTGATAGCGCTTTGCTTTAAGGGAAAGATTACGCTCCACTTCTGGAAAGAGGGGTGACGTCTGACTGCCTTGTTATCTGTTGGTTACAGGCATGGGCAGTTTTGACAACAAAGATGGCAACTGGGGAGGAACTCAAAGGGATGCTGCCTATAACAGCTTTGGGGGCCGTTCTGATAGGTCCAAGACTGGCTTCTTCAATGACCGTGGGGCAGGTTCAAGAGGAAGGTGTGTAAAATTGTTGCATGTTATAAATTTGTTATGTTAAATCTTAATGTTTTATAATATCTTAAATTTTACAAAAATGCTTAAAATATAACCTGGATCAGACTGAAGTAGCTTTTTGTAATTGACACAGAATTTCCAATGCTTTATTTGTATTTAAAATTGCTTGTTTACCAGAGGGGATAGATCTAGCAAAGATGCTGGAGGTCTTCTAGCTTGTAGTAAAACCCTGCTGGCAGAGGGCACCTTTTTTTATAACCTGTTTTAAGATGGTTTCATACTGTGTAAGTACAGCTATTGACTTTAATGTAGAGTTATAACCCTGCATGTTGTATAGTTTGCTTCTACGTTTTCACTTTTTGAGTAAAAGATCTTGACTGTACAGCGCTGTGTAGGCCTTGCTTTAACAGTCTGTGTGCATTATATACAGATATGAACGTGGAGGCTTTGCTGGTGGAGGAAACAGCCGCTGGCAGGAGGACTCCAGAGAAGAAGACTGGTCCAAGCCCACTGCTCCCAATGAGCGCCTGGAACAGTAAGACAGACTTTTCTCACGTATAGGGCTGAACAATTAATCTAAATGTTTGAAACAAATCGCAATATGGCCAATTGCAAAATCCAAATGTGGCCCAACATTGCATTATACAAATCACTTTGTAAAGGCAATGTTTTTTTGCAAATATTTCAGCCTTATTCACAAATGCTATCAACCATCTTGTTAAACATTTGTAAACGTTGTTTTCTAGTGAGTTGTTCTCCGGAGGCAACACTGGGATAAACTTTGAGAAATATGACGATATTCCCGTGGAGGCCACTGGCAGCAACTGCCCACCTCACATCGAAAGCGTAAGTCTATACTAAGCAATGATGCCTATTCTTATAGGTGTTATAATGTCCATCCTGTTTCTACATGGATGCATTTGAAAAAGGTTTGTCTTATACTGATGCAATGACTGGTTGTTCTGTAGTTCCATGATGTGGACATGGGGGAGATCATCATGGGGAACATTACCTTGAGTCGCTACACTCGTCCCACTCCAGTCCAGAAGTATGCTATCCCCATCATCAAGTCCAAGAGAGACCTGATGGCTTGTGCCCAGACTGGTGAGTATTTATCTATGCGTTTGGCTCCATGGTTTTTATAATTTAGTTTTAGGTTATTTAACTGTATTCATGATTCCTGCTTTCAGGCTCTGGTAAGACTGCTGCTTTCTTGCTGCCAGTGCTGAGTCAGATCTTTACAGAAGGTCCAGGAGATGCTCTGCAGGCCTCCAAAAACAACGGACAGGTATGAGGGGAATGACAAATCCACAATAATCAAACTCATCCTGCATTACCATTTAACTCGTTCTGGTAAACATTTCATCCTCAGGACAATGGAAGGTATGGTCGCCGTAAGCAGTATCCAATGTCCCTGGTGCTGGCACCCACCAGAGAACTGGCTTTACAGATCTATGAAGAAGCAAGGAAGGTGAGCTACAATCCACACAGCTCACTGTCTGACACCATCATATTGTTTACCTGATCATTGAATGTATCTTGGAACTCAATTGTTCTCTTCTTTCCTTCGTTCTAGGTTGCCTATCGCTCCCGTGTGCGTCCCTGCGTGGTGTACGGCGGTGCTGATATTGGTCAGCAGATCAGGGAGTTGGAGAGAGGCTGTCACCTGCTGGTGGCCACACCAGGACGTCTGGTTGATATGATGGAAAGGGGCAAGATTGGCCTGGACTACTGCAAGTCAGTATTGCTCAAGGATTCCTACTGGGGGATGTTTTAATTTATTTGACTCTAAATCTTTATTGTGGTGTCTCCTAATTATGATGTGTCTCTACAGCTACTTGATCCTGGATGAGGCTGACCGCATGTTGGACATGGGTTTTGAGCCACAGATCAGACGCATTGTGGAGCAAGATACAATGCCGCCTAAAGGTGTCCGTCAGACCATGATGTTCAGTGCCACTTTCCCCAAGGAAATTCAGGTAATTGCCTATAGGAGCCCCTCCCCCTGTTCTTCCTGCCATTGTTAAAGTTGGGAACCACTATTGAAAGCATGTTAACATTTGAACCAAATCAGGATGTGCTTTGTGCAAAGTCCCATCAGTGTATGCATTTTTTATCAGAAGCTAAGGGGTTTCTTTTCTAACCTTGTCTTAGACCTGCTGGTACTGTCCTTTAAAAAAATAACCATAGCCAGTTGGAGTGAATTGTTTGACTGTGTGCAATAAAATTGCAGGCATAAATCTAGTAGAACCTACCAAGGTGCCAGGCAGTAGATTTAAAAACTATTTTCCCTGCTGCTTGGTGCCCTAACATTATCGGGATCAGCAGGGTAATTCGCATCACTGTACAACCCAAACTCGCGGACTAACAGTTGGAGAACAATAACAACAAATGCCCTGGGATTCTCACGTATTTTTCTGTTCTCACCCAGTATCCTCCCATTAAATGTTCCCCTGTAAATCTCCCGTATCTTTAACCTTAATATCAAATAAAAATCTGCAGCCGTATTTAAAGTGTTGGCTGCGCTCTCCTCTGGAAAAACCGGTGGTCTTGGTATTTCGGCGATCTGCAGTAGTCATGTGGAGTGGCAGTAGGTCTGTGTAAAAGATGTAGACCGTGCTTCTTGCACAAGGATTAAATGAAAAATAACCCACTGAAATGATATAAGGCTTATAGCCTGTAAACCATATGAAATTATAATGAATATAGTAACTAGAAGTAATAACGATATACTAACAGTATAATATGGAATTAACATTGTACTTTTATTTAAATGTACCTTATTGTCAAATGTCACTGACAGTTATGACTCTCTCTGGCTCGCTAAAGCCCACAGAACCTGAGCTTTCCAGAACAAAAAGCAGCTACTTCAGAGTTTATCATCAACTCAGGATGTCAATTTATAAAGATGCGGTTTGTTTTTGTAGTCAATTCCACAGGAAGGCTGTATTAAGCTATAAGACGTTTACATTAACCAGGCAAAGGCTGGTATGGTTTAAGTCTCTAAGACAGAGGGAGTGGAATTTGTTGCCAATGTTTCCTGGCAATAAAATAAACAATTTCATGATACTTATCTGTTAATTTTCATACTTAATACACTGTTTTTAGGTCAAATTAAATATACTGTATAACGCTACATGATAAATAAAAGGCTTCAAATAGACTCGGTAATCGGTATCGGCCGATACTGCTTTCTGAAATCTTTCAGCATGAAATGACTTCTTCTCCCCTCGCTATTTTCTATCTTCCTCCACTTTGCAATCTGCGCCATCAAAGCACATCTTCACTTGGCCTCACGTAAGTGAAGCATGTTTCGCGTAACAATGGGCTAGGGCTGAACTATGAATCGTTTTTTAAATCAAAATTGTGATTTGAAAGAAAGCGATTAGCTAATTGTGATGTCAGCGATTAAATTGTAGGTTAATTATACAGCACCTCTGACCTGTTTTTAAACAGTCATGCAGTTACAAATTCATTCCGTTGTTGTCCTTGTGTGACACACTTGCTAACCAATCACAAGTGCCATGCGCCTCCTGTTACGGTCCTACTTACCAATCAGAGCTAGCACAGGGCGTGTACATTTTACAACAACAAAAGAACTGGAAGAAAACATTTTAATGGCCAAACAAAGCCTGCGGATGTGCCGCAGCCTTTGTTTGGCGTCAGCTCACATTGAAGTGTTTCAGCAGCGTTGTTAACATGTTCTTAATTTGTCATTTTGTGTGCTTATACAGCTCTCTGAGAGCCCGTCCCATTCCGCTCTGTGCAGGCTAAAGTTACATATCCACATGGAGCATTTCAGAATAAGAGCATTTTGCTGACTTGTTCAGATTTTGCTTATTTGTTCACTTGTTATGGTTAAGTAGCTACGTATTTAAATTGTCTTTTGTTTGGTCTGTTTTAACTGTTGATGTACAATCGGGAGTCTGCTAAAGGTGTTTATTATTTACCCTATTCTCTATGCCGACATGATTATGATGGTGCTGTTTGCAAAGGTTTCCCTTTAAATAAATCAAAACACTTCCACCATAAATTGATGCCGGAAAGGTCCAAATTGGAACAGGAAAAATCACCATTATCCAGGAAAATAAAGCCCTGACCAGTTTGCATGCCTTTTTTTTTTTCTTTGGTGTGTGTGTAGATCCTGGCTCGTGACTTCCTGGAGGACTACATTTTCTTGGCAGTGGGACGTGTTGGTTCCACTTCAGAGAACATCACCCAGAAGGTGGTCTGGGTAGAGGACAACGACAAGAGGTCCTTCCTCCTCGACCTGCTTAACGCCACAGGTGAGAAATGCATACACATTAAAGAAAATGTTGTCCTCCCCTAGGGCACGTTGGGCTCTAACCCATCATCCTGTGTTTTGTCAGTCTTCCCCATATCAGGCTAATTTTGACTTTGCTACATCTTTGCTAACACATGTGGTTCATTTATAGCCAGACCTTGCAGTGAAAGATAAAAAATATCAAAAAAAAGGGGTGAGCAGGCACTGAAATCGCTTGGCTTGTTTTAAAGGGGTATACTTATGATGACATAAAGCTGTTATATCTGTGTGCTGAGCAGCCTTACATTTACTGGCCGGTTTGGTTTTATCTCAGTTATTCCCAGTGAGGTTCAGGAAAATGTGACAGAGGCCCCAGAGAAACCTGGTAAGTATAAACACATCATAACTTCACTCTGACCCACAAGCCAGAAACATCATATCCCCACAGCTCATCCTGTCCCTCCCCAGCTGACATGCTGCCTCAGTTTTGTTTTTTCTTTTCCAGTAAGAGCTTGTTGGAACGATAAGATTTGCCTTGCACGATGTAGCGTGAAATTGCAAAATTTGAGTCAATAGTACAATCTCTCTCTGCACTGAAAGGGGCGTTCTTTTTTTAGCATAGTGTTCAGTGTGTTATCAACACCGGGTCACTAAGGTCAGCTGGCTCAACATGTTGGCTGGCTGTCATAGAAGGCTCTCTGTTTCCACAAGGCAAGTGGCGGTGGCAGATTTAATGGCCCCAACATATTACTCCAGTGTACAGACTGTTTTCTTCTAGTTTAGACCACTTAAACTCTGAAAGCGATAACGAATACTTCGAGTCATCTCTTGCAATTACTGGCCTAGTAATGTAGAAGTCCTGTGTTTTGTAACTTCAGTTTACCTCCAAAAGAAATCTACAGGCATGGCAGTTGGTACAGCCACTGCCACCATAAAAAGCAAACCAATGTGTAATTTGTCATGGACAGGCTTGTTAAAGCATGCACTTGGCAGTTATTAACCACAGTAAAGCAGTTCGGGGGGGGAGGGGTTGGTACCACTCGACAATTTAGCTTGTCTGATTTATCTTAAAAGTACTCACAGGCTGTAGTAGTAGTATGGAGAGACGGGGGCTTTGATGGATGTTTAATAAAATGTTTTCCCCTGACTGGTGCCAGAGTGCAGAAACATTTGCAGGGTTGGTTACAACTGTCCTACCCCAACTACCCCTCAGCCATTTTTACCGTCCCAAGCTTTTATCTTAATAAATCAATAATTGTCTAAACTGCTGATCCGGGCATATATTTATGGATCAGTATAGCTGCTTGAAATGACGGCCAGGCTGTTTTGTGAGCGTTGGGCTCCATAATTTGTGTAATCAAATTCTCTCCTAGATTCACTGATCTGTCAAAATACACACTTGGTGAGCTCAGATGCCAACAAATCTGTTATATCTATCTTTTTACAAAGATTAGTGTGACAAACATTCAGCTTGCAGCTTCTCATTTTCATTTCCGGATGGTTAACACATACAATGTGTTGTAAATTAACATTAATCCTGTGAGTAACTTGACTGGAAACTGGCCAACATTAATTGTTACTGACCTTGGGTTTGTGAGCTCCCTGTGAGCCAGTGTCTGCACTGAGCCAAAGACATGTTGTAGAAGAAGGATCACTCTGTAATGCCACTGTACAACCGCGAGTAAGAAGTCTCTGTTCTCCCAACAGTGATCAATCTTAAGCATAAAAAAATAGGTGTGATATTAGTTAGGCTACAACTGTTTGTTTATTTTCAGTGTTTCAGATCCATAGTTGGACAGACAGTTGGCAGAAAGTTTTAAAGGACTCTGATGGGTGCAACCTTAGTTTAAACGAAGTTATTCAGGACATCTTCAGTATGCAGAAACCTAAAGCCAAGGTTGACAGTTAATGGTTATCAGTGAAATTTAAAGCTTTTTTTTTAATGCAACCCCTGTATCCATGTCTACGTGGTCATTTTGTTTGTTCTTTTACATCATGATCTTGCAATTGCCCCCCCCCCTTTTTGTGACAATTTAAGTTCCTGCTCCCATCCTTTTTTTTTTTTTTTTTGTAAAAAAAAAAAAATCCATCCATAGCCTTGTTCCCAATTTTCTTTCCCCCCTTTCATGCTATTCATTCTGCTCTCCTCCCTTTGTCCCATCCCTTTTTTTTACTATTTCCCATCTACACAGGCAAAGAATCGTTGACTCTGGTGTTTGTGGAAACAAAGAAGGGAGCCGACGCTCTAGAGGACTTCCTTTACCACGAGGGTTATGCCTGCACCAGCATCCACGGAGATCGATCCCAGAGAGACAGAGAAGAAGCTCTGAACCACTTCCGGTCTGGACGCTGCCCCATCTTAGTGGCTACAGCTGTAAGTAATCTTTGCTCTTACTCCTACATTAAGCTTTCACCTGAGCTTAAACCATAGACGGTAAATAAGAGGTGGATATAGTCAACATGACGGCACCTGTTGGTTTGTAGACCACATTTTGAAGTGTTTGGCCTTTTGGCTGTCGCCAGCTTGTGTGTTTTTGTTTTTTTGGTTTTTTTTTTTTCTTTTTAAACCAGGATTCTAATTTTGACGGGCTTAAAACAAAATAGACAGCTGACTTCTAAAGCTTTTTCAGTGCCGCTGGTTAAATGTACACAATGCAGCCTCCCCTGCTCTCTGGTCTATTTCCTATGTCAATATAATTTTGTCAGTCAATACACTATTCTTGGTCAAAACATCATTAAGCAAAAACTAAAATAGTTGAATAAACTAAGTGTGTAAAGGTGGTCGCTTCCTCCGATTTCATGTTTGATGTACCATCTTAAGTTTAGAAAAAATCTTACAATGTCAACATCAGCGTTGGTGTCAATGCTTGTTTAGTTTTAATTCTTCTCTTATAACGCGGATTTGCCGTAATTTGTCATAACGCTATGAACTGTGGGCAATTCCCTCAGCCAAAGTCTGCAGAAATGCGGACTTACGAAAAGGGTCTAAAAAGGGCTCAATGTCAGAGCCCTTGCGCGCTTGACCATTTGACAGTGGGGCGGCCCTAAGCCCTCATGGACTTCCCGGGAATGCACCTTTGAGGGTGGAGATTGGGCTTGAGACCATAAACTCAATAGGAAAGTGACTGAGGTAAAAAATCAGCTGAGAAGTAGCCTCCTTTTCTCAGACTTCTATACAATCACACTACTTTGTGCAATCAATGGAGTCGCCCCCTGCTGGCTGTTAGAGAGAATGCAGGTTTAAAAAGCATTACGCTTCCATGTAAGGATACACAACAAAGGTTTACATGCTGAAACCAAATGGATTCAGATGAGTAAAAACAAAGTGAACATTAGAAATGCAAAGAAAGTCACGTTAGCTCGCTGGCAACGCCGAGCAGTTGCTAATGTTACCCGGTGCAAAGTTGTATTGCTTTCCACATTACTTCACCAACTAACGCGATCCATATAACTATCCTGTGTACCACTGGTATTATGTCAGTGTTTCATTTGGTCTGCAAGAAATTAAGTAATGGTAAAAATCAAAAGTGGATTTGTTTACTAGCCTACAGTGATGCAGGCAGGGCAGCCAGCTAACGCTACTTTAACTCGGACCTTCCACTGTTTGCTTGTTTGCTAACGTTCAATTTAGATTTAGTGTGGTATTTCCAATACTCCAGTATACGGCTTCTCCACCTCTAGGTCGGTGTAACTATTCAGTTCAACCTCAAGCTGATAAAAACATGACTAAAGTTGCAGTGGGAGTTTACCTGAGTTTCCAGCATGTTGTGTGAAGCTCTCACTCTGCCTTTTCTCGGGAGTACCGTACCAGTGTCTCACTGCGCTGAATGAAAGTGTCAGAGCCGTTGTTGATCTGCCTCTGAGCCGAGAATGTTTAAGTAACAGAGCCTGAACGTGTCTGTGTGAAAAGCCACAGCCTGCATGCAGGAGTTTCTGCGTTTAGTGCAGGATTTCTGTATGAAAGTGGTTGTGTTTTGGATTATGCTTGCTCATGAGTTCAAGCCAGCACGCGTGCGAGTACACACCTGGTTGCAATCTTAAAACCACACCGCTAGTGGCTGCTGAAAACTCCATAATGCCCCTTTTTAAGATCTGATTTGAGGGGTTTGTGATAGATTTTTGTTCATTGAGCTAATTTTAAGATACTTAAGAGAATTTAACAATTATTGCAATAATGATTGTAGCCTTTGATTTTAATGGTTTGTGCCTGGAGAGAAATTTTACAGTATTATAACTTCAAATGAGCCAGATACATTTTTGATCCAGGTTTGCAAATGACCTGACAAGTTCAAAGGGTGACATTAAAGGCTTGTTTCACTATTCGATTTTGAAAAGACCCTGTAGGAAACCAGGCCAACTGGGTCACGGAGCTGTGTGGTTTTGGCTGAACTGGTGAACACTGGAACATTTTTATCAGTTGTTGCTAATGAACTTTAGTTTTATTAGTTTGGCCAGTTGTCTTGTCAGAACGTTACATTTAAACACTGTCCTACTTTCCCAGGTGGCTGCTAGAGGTCTGGACATCAGCAATGTGAAGCACGTCATTAACTTTGATTTGCCCAGTGACATTGAGGAATACGTTCACCGTATTGGCCGTACGGGACGTGTGGGCAACCTCGGTATGAACTTTGTTTTCTTTTACCCAAATTTAAAATAACACTTTATGTATTTTAATGACTCTGTATAATCATACTCTTGCTCTGTTTTGTGCAGGTCTGGCCACGTCGTTCTTTAACGACAAAAACAGCAACATAACCAAAGATTTGCTGGACATTTTGGTGGAGGCCAAGCAGGAGGTTCCCTCCTGGCTTGAAAGCCTGGCCTACGAGCACCAGCACAAGAGCAGCACCCGGGGGCGCTCTAAGAGGTAATTGTCGCACACGTAACAATTTTTTATTAAGCACATACACAAATATCAGATGGAAGCCAGGGCCATACGAAATGCCAAGTGGGCAAGGTTTTTTCCGCTTTTACAACCTGCGTCTTTAGTAGTTGTAGTCCTTATTTCTATTGGCAACATTTCACTAACTAGCTGAATAGAATTTGGGAAAACATATGTGCTCTCGAACAAATGCTAAGTTAAACAATGTCGTATCTATCAGAGTGACTGAGTTTGGCATTTTTTGAAAATGAAAGTGAATAGACCCAATTTGTTAAATCTGTCGGTGAGCACAGACAGGTGACAAATTAAATGAAAACACCTGAATTAATGTTAACCTAATGAATTCAGAAGATTTCACACAGGTGCACTGTGCAGGAGATAATTAAGCATTTAAAGCACATTTGTGCTTTGTGTTAATAATAAAATAAAATAAATTACCAAGCAGGTATCTTTGGTATGTGGATGGCTGAAAAATATACAGATGAAGTACATCGAAACACTATATAAATAACACTAAATGAGGAAATAATTTTTGGGAGAATGTTCCTGTAGAGTTTCATGTTCTGGTGCCACATGGTGGACAAACGCGTTACTAAAGACACTTTAACTTGTCACCTGTCGGTATAGGGCACATGGCAGGTGAAGCAAAGTATTGTGGGTCATTCTCATCTTTAATTTGTAGTCATCAGAAAATGTGTGCCTAACATCTAACTAACAAACTGTTCTTGTCCAGGTTCTCTGGTGGTTTCGGAGCTAGAGACTACCGTCAGACGCCAGGTGGCGCCGGGAGCTTCAGTAACAGCCGTGGAGGGCGCAGCACAGGAGGCCATGGAGGAAGTCGTGGCTTTGGTGGAGGTAAGGAAATTTCCCCAGGCTTTACCTGTGCTTTGCTTTATTTTCAACTTAAAACCATCAACCTTTCTATATAGAACACTGCAAAGTCATAGTTTACAAATGGCTCTCTTTATTGCAACACCTGCCAAGCTGTTATCCGTTCTCTGATTATGCGCGTGTGGGTGACCTGATGAGGAGCATAATTTTTAATCTTTCAAACAATAGAAAAATCACCTTGCTTGTCCATAAAAATAATACCAATCAACTATTAAGGCTTCAACAGGTGGTATTTTCTGCAAGGTACTGAATTAAGGGCACTGGTTTTTAAACGATACCTAGCCCTACCGTCAATTAAGTTTAAATGAATTTTCTGTTTCTGACGTCTGACCTTGTCTTTCAACAGGTGGCTTTGGTGGCAACTTCTACAGCAATGACGGCTATGGAGGAAATTACAGCCACTCTGGAAGTGTGGATTGGTGGGGCAACTAGTCACCATAGGAGTAGGTTGCAATGCCAACCCAATGGAAACCACATGTTAACTTAAGCCAGACCATAACAACCCTCCCGGTGTAGCTTCACTGACACACAGTACATTACCCACCCTGGTTCTCTGCCATTCGCTTCTCTTAAAAAAGGAAGTGCAGCACGACGCAAAGGAAAGTCACCAGCACGTGCAACGCACCGGGGACCGCAGAGATTCGCACACCTCAGAGTGAGCATGGACGCTGACATGCATTGTCCGATAGCAACTTCGGACTTTCATTCTTAAAATTTTTTTTGTTCTTTTTGTGGAAAAAAACCCAATTGAATAACCTGAGGATCATTTATATGTTAATGTACTGTGCCTTTTGGAATTTAAACAGGAAATCTTATGTTATCTTCATTTAACTTGATGAACATGGCCAAGAGCTCTAAATTTGATTTTACTTGTTTTTTGTTTGGTGAAATATATATATATATTAGAAAGGTAAAATAAGCTTGGACTTAATCAAACCTTGGCAAATACTGGGGTATTGTGGCTCTGAGTCATGATTCCATTTGAACTAAAAATTTATTGCAGCAACATCATGTAGCCTTTTCTATATAGTCAAACAGCTAATGGAGCCGTTGGTGTTTGTGTCAATACAAACTGGCCCACTCTGTGAAGCAACCGTATTTTAATCCTTAAGGACAAAGTTACACTTGATTTTTCTTTTTCTTTCTTTGCTCACTCTATCCTGGACAGGCTCCTTTTTATGGATACGATGGTCTTTTGAAATAGCCATTCCTATTGTAATCTTAAGAAACACGGACGTCATTAAGCTCAGTGCCAACAGTTGCTGAGGTTTAAACAAGAATAATCACTGCTGGAACTTGTTACTCCACATTATTCAATTGACTTGACAGTGTTATGGCAGCTAGTATGTTACAAAGTGCTAGCTACATTAAGTGGGCGGTGTTTTTTGTTTATTTTTACTTGAGACATTTTTGGTGCAGGTGTGTGCGAAATTGAAAAACTGGGATCAGTTTTTTCGATTTTTGAATTGTTTCTTCTACAAACATGTATCAACAACAAAAAATGCCTGCCATCTTGAAAGTGAAGTTCAAAATGGCCGCATAAAGGACCACAGCATCGGGAGGGCATAGCGTGGTGTTAGTGTTTACCGAATCGACCGGCAACCATGAGGCCCAGATGGTATTCTACGCTTGCAAGTGTTTTGTTTTTTGGTCAAGGAGGGAGGGACACGTGAACTTGAGTCGCAGGCTTAACTTAATTACAAACGTTTTCTCTTTTCAAGCTGCGTTGGAGGCATGGGTCATCTTTAAGAGACAGGCATGTGAATGATCACTGAGGTTTATCAATCGAACAGCGAGGAAACTCAGCATAGTAGAGCAGCGCTCCGACCACTGGGGTTGGGGGGAGGGGGACGAGGGGCACGGTTCTTCGGTGCACCACCGTCAACAGTGGCTTTGGTTTCCATTGCTGCGTAGTAAATGGAGGTGGCCAAAGATGAGTGTCAACTTCCTTATGGAACATTAAAGTACTGTCAGGTCCTCTGAGAGTTAATCTGCTCAGACGTGTATAAAAAAATAAATATCTGTGGCTTCGTAAAGCCAGAGCAGGCTTTTCCTCTCAAAGAGGAGCAGCCATCGAGAGGAGGAGAGATGGGACGTTTCACCTCAAAATTCTCCGTTTTCTCATCGGGTGTGTTGTGCCTTGAAACCTTTTTTTTATTTTAAGAAATTGAACTAAAGCGGATGCACTGACAGTGTTTTGAACTTGATTGAATGGTGCTACTTGATTTAGGTGTGTAGGCCCTTGTACGTCGTGCCCATCGAGTTTTACAAAAAGGTTCTTTTATTGCACATCTAGAGTTTTATATAGATGTCTTGGATATGTGTGTCCTTAAGCTTCCAAATATTGTGTGTGAGGAGATAGTGGAAAATAAAAACGCAGCTTGTTTACAAAGGGGAAGGGTTCTCAACGTTTAAACCAGGATTTATTTGGGACCAGGGGATTTAGCAGTCGGGGGAATTTAGCCATTTGCACAGATTTCTAGATTCTACTTTTGCTGCTAGTTTTGTGTAATTTATTAAGCATTTTTGACAAATATTTATTTTTGTAAGCCTCAAAGTGATTCTTTGAAAGTTTCAGAAACTTGACCAAAAGACAGTACAAAAAACACTGGCACTTGAATGTTGAATGTCACCTGTATGCGTGAAATTTATATATTTCGGGGTAGTGTGAGCTTTTTAATGTTTAAGATACATTGGACTCAGTAAATAATATCCACAGCTGTTTCAGGGCCTCCTCAGGGCTGGTCATCTCTATTAGATTAAACTGATTGGTCACCAAAATTTGAAATGGAATGAACAAACATGCCAAGGTTTGGAATATAGCTGTCAAATGAGCAAATAAATTTCCTAAGCATATCAGTGCAGAAGTGTTCAGATTCTCCAATTGTGTGCATTATTGATTCTTTACTCTAATTTGACCTGATTATTTTTCTCCAGTGAATGTCTGGCACATGGCAATCCTTAAAGAAACAAACATGTGGTTTATTCTCATTGTTGTATTTGCAGAAATTACTCTTCGAGTTCTCCTTGAATGTGGACCGGGTCTGAAGGCAGCTGTTGGTGCAGTTTTGGGATGAACAGGATTGTTTCTGTGCATATTTTTGCAATGCAGAACTCGAGACTTGTTCCACATTCTCTTGAGAACCCTAGAGATCTTTAGACGTAGACTTTGCTTTCTGTATTAGCTTCTAGGCTACTGCACTGCATGGGAAACACTCAGCTGTGCAATTGTATGATTTTACCAAAATAAAATGTTTGAATGCAAAAAGTATCCAGGAAAATCAAGCATGTTTCATGAAGACTTGTTTACTGTAGCTGTGCAGACAAGACTTGTAGCAAGCAGCCTGTTGCCTTGTGTGGACACAAGGCATATGGGCAGCAAAACTAAATTTGGTGTAGATGGATGAGCTTCATTTCTTTTGAAGAGGGAAAAACAAAGTATATATAAATATTTCCTTTGTAAATTCACATGTGTCAATTGTGTTATTTATCCCACACCGGTGTTAGGAAGAGGTTTAGGGCCACGTGTTAACTTTGTTTTCACAAGTTCTTCACATGTGGCCCTCAATCCCCTTCTCTAGGGTGTAACTGTTAGACCCTTCACCAAAAAAGGTGACTTCTATCTGGTGGGTATTTATATTTTTTCTCTCCCTGCCAGTATTTTCACTACTGACTGGTTAGTACTGATTTCTGCAACAATTTATTAGTCTGCTTGGTAGCATCCAATTTACTCAACCAATTTACTTGTCCTCCCTCAACTGGTTCGTACAGTCTCCTGACACCTCGTTTCTGTTAGTTAATTTTAGTGAAATTACTGCTTTTAACATCAATCAGCTCCAACTCCAAACATGATCTGCTCAGTTTATCTGCCATTTAATGAGATGATATATACAACACTTATAAAAGTTATGAAGTTTGATCAAAGATTTAAAACCTTTCAGGATGTAGGCCAAAAACAAAGGAAAATGTTCAAACCATTTTTGAAATGATGAAAGCACTTGCAAATAACAAGCTCATACAAAATGTAAACCATATTTTTTTTTTTTTACAAAATAACCCAACACAGAGGAATATCTTGCAGATAGTATACTGCTCAAAAAAGGGAACACTTAAACAACACAATGTAACTCCAAGTCAGTCACACTCCTGTGAAATCAAACTGTCCACTTAGGAAGCAACACTGATTGACAATCAATTTCACATGCTGTTGTGCAAATGGAATAGACAACAGGTGGAAATTATGGGCAATTAGCAAGACACCCCCAATAAAGGAGTGGTTCTGCAGGTGGTGACCACAGACCACTTCTCAGTTCCTATGCTTCCTGGCTGATGTTTTGGTCACTTTTGAATGCTGGTGGTGCTTTCACTCTAGTGGTAGCATGAGACGGAGTCTACAACCCACACAAGTGGCTCAGGTAGTGCAGCTCATCCAGGATGGCACATCAGTGCGAGCTGTGGCAAGAAGGTTTGCTGTGTCTGTCAGCGTAGTGTCAAGAGCACGGAGGCGCTACCAGGAGACAGGCTGGTACATCAGGAGACGTGGAGGAGGCCGTAGGAGGGCAACAACCCAGCAGCAGGACCGCTACCTCCGCCTTTGTGCAAGGAGGAGCAGGAGGAGCACTGCCAGAGCAAAATGACCTCCATGAGGGTGGTACGAGGGCCTGACGTCCACAGGTGGGGGTTGTGCTTACAGCCCAACACCGTGCAGGACGTTTGGCATTTGCCAGAGAACACCAAGATTGGCAAATTCGCCACTGGCGCCCTGTGCTCTTCACAGATGAAAGCAGGTTCGCACTGAGCACATGTGAAAGATGTGAGAGTCTGGAGACGCTGTGGAGAACGTTCTGCTGCCTGCAACATCCTCCAGCATGAGCGGTTTGGCGGTGGGTCAGTAATGGTGTGGGGTGGCATTTCTTTGGGGGGCCGCACAGCCCTCCATGTGCTCGCCAGAGGTAGCCTGACTGCCATTAGGTACCGAGATGAGATCCTCAGACCCCTTGTGAGACCATATGCTGGTGCGGTTGGCCCTGGGTTCCTCCTAATGCGAGACAATGCTAGACGTCATGTGGCTGGAGTGTGTCAGCAGTTCCTGCAAGAGGAAGGCATTGATGCTATGGACCGGCCCGCCCGTTCCCCAGACCTGAATCCAATTGAGCACATCTGGGACATCATGTCTCGCTCCATCCACCGACGCCACGTTGCACCACAGGCTGTCCAGGAGTTGGCGGATGCTTTAGTTCAGGTCTGGGAGGAGATCCCTCAGGAGACTATCCGCCACCTCATCAGGAGCATGGCCAGGCGTTGTAGGGAGGTCATACAGGCACGTGGAGGCCACACACAATACTGAGCCTCATTTTGACTTGTTTTAAGGACATTACATCAAAGTTGGATCGGCCTGTAGTGTGGTTTTCCACTTTGATTTTGAGTGTGACTCCAAATCCAGACCTCCATGGGTTGATAAATTTGATTTCCATTGATAATTTTTGTGTGATTTTGTTGTCAGCACATTCAACTATGTAAAGAAAGGAGTATTTAATGAGATTAATTCATTCATTCAGATCTAGGATGTGTTATTTTAGTGTTCCCTTTATTTTTTTGAGCAGTGTATATGAAATTTAAATCCTACTCCAAACCCCTCTCAACTAAAAAATCTACTTTGAATTTGAACACTATTATTGGAGATTCACCCAACAGTGATGACCTGAATAAACATTTGGAAACTGTGCACTACAAATTAATAAAATCCTTGATCTAAAAGATATCACCGGTCCTCCAAGCCTCAGGTTCTCAGGGAGGGAGTTGCAGAGCTGAGAGGCCCTGCCCGAGGATCTAAGCAGCAACTCAGAAATGCAGCTGGGAGAACCATAAAGTGCTTTAAAAGTGATCAGTAAAAGCATAAAATCAGTCCTATAATTTACTGGTAACCAGTGAAGGGAGGCTGAAACGGGACTGATGTGGACTTGTCTTTCTGAGATTGTTTATTTTTTTACCTTAACCCTGATTATAATGAGTTTGGGTAATCAAACCTAGATTTAAAGGAAAGCATGGATGACCACCTTGAGATCAGGCCGAGAGAGAGAAGACCTACATTTTTCTTTATTTTAGATGTTTGTGAACTGATTTGAAACATGTTTCAACCTTTTGTAACATGTTATTTTGTAAAGGAAAGGTCACAGTCAAATAATACACCCAGGTTTTCTCGCTGAAGAAGAAACTCAACACAGGGGAACATAAAACAAAACCCAAACTACTGTTGTGGCGGTGTAACTGCAGAGCGACGCACACACCAACACAGAAGTATAAATGCTCACCACCGCACAGAGCCTAAGAAGTAGAAGGCCAAGAGGGCCTTAAGGTTAGGGTTAGCCAATCAGAGGCAGACTAGGGGGCAGGACTCAACGCAAAGCTGGTCCGTCAAATGAGAGCTGTCAACTCTGGCAGGAGAGAAAATAACGCGTAATAACTGCAGTTAACTTCCTGGATTAACGTATTTATTTGAACCAACAGTTTGATCTTTTCCTAAAGCTAACCAGTTTAGGCCATGGCCCCGCAAACGACCAAACTGGCCTTTATTCCAAAAAGTGTTTTCATTCTAACAAATAAACACGCAGGATTATTTCACCTCAGCAGAAGAAAAAATCATTTTGAGGTGTTAAAGTTACTAGAAGTACAGTATTTTATTTCTGCAGTCTAAGGAATATAAACTTCCATGCATTTTTATCTTTAAGCTATTGATTAAAATCAACATGAGCAACCTATTTGCTAATAAAGGTGTGGCTAGCTTGCATAAAAGATTTTATCATGGCTGCAACGTCGGGGAACTGTAACACATGACCTGATATAAGCAGCTTGTTTGTCGGTGTTGACATACCTTTCTGTTAGAAAATGGACATATATCACTAAACTTAAATTTAAAACTGCATTTAAAAAGGGTGTTTTAAAATAAATATTTGCTTTATTATAAACATAAATCAGCAGTTAACATACATGCTATATATGTCTGCAAAAGCAAAGTTCCCTTCATTCTCAGCTTGTCTGTATAGTTGATTTAAAGGGGTTTGATTGGATAAGACCCAGTAAAACCATTAGTTCACTTGTCAAAAGCAATTTTATAAAGTTTGAACAGAGAACTTAGCAGAAGATGCCTGACATCTAAAATAATTTGAACCGTATAGCAAACAAAAACTCTATAGTAACATTATTAGATACGACAGCAGTAAAGTGATTACTTTGAGGTAGGCTTTTATTGGAGATACAGTGGGTTAACATGACTTAATGTTTTTATTGCATTTAAGATAATATTATGATCTTGTCTTGTTTTAATAATTACTGCACCTATATATGTTTCTTGAATCAAAAGATAACTAGTATATGTCAAGTAGTCTGGGAGTTATGAAGGAAAATGTCTCCCCTACTTTTGCTACAATACTTCTTCCGCTGCAGTCAGACCAGATGAGCCGAGTCGACCCAAATCCAGTCCTGTCTGTCACAGCGCTGACATCGTCTCTTCCCACGGTCACCAGATGTGCAGAAATGACGGCATGGCATGTGTGCTGAACTTTCAAGTGACAAATTTATATACCTGACCTGTATTTTATGCCTGCACAGATGATCTCCACTTTAGCCGTCTGTGGGAGCTTTTTAGGCAGTGAGCAGACATCCTATGCTTCAATTTTGGGAGTTTTTTCTTGTTACTCCTGACGAGTCACGTGGTCTCTAATGTTACTGAGTAGGTTTCGTAACCACGGAGCCGGTGGCATCCATTAAAAAAACCCTGTTGTATAATTTCTGTGTCATTTTGAAAATAAAGGTCAGTGAAGCGGGGTGAATCCAGGTGTGCAGTGACCACATTCAGCTCTCTGGAGGAAGATGGCCTGTGGACAGTAGAGTAATCTGTAGCGTTAAACAAGTTGTATTGATCGCCTCTCTCCTCAGCTCACACCACTGATGTGCGTTCTGATCCCCTAATCCATTTCAGCATCTCCATTTCTGATAAGTTTTATGTCCAACTTGAGTTGGTGTAATCTGTGTTTCTAAGTTACCTCTCCACCTCTGCGGTTTGATCTGAGAGCTTCGCTTTACTTCTGTAATCCTGCCAGCCGCCCATCTCCATCTCCATCCCTCCACCACTCCACCACTCCATCCAGGGGATTTGACTGCCATTAAGAGATGGCTTTTTTGTGGTAGTGTGTGTGTGTGTGGGTGGGTGTGTGGAGGGGGGTGAGGATGAAGTGTAAAAACACAAACGCGTACACTTTAGCTGGAGAACTG